AGCGCTGAGAGGTGTATTCTCCTCCTCCGTCTGATTGGAAGTTTTTCAGCTGTGTTCCTGATTCCCTCTCTGCTACCGGTAGCCAAGCGGCGAACGCTGCGAGTGCCATGTCGCGGCTGGGTAGGTTTCGATGCCAGACGTATCGAGTGGCGGCGTCGATGAAGGTTATTGTGTAATTGTAGGTGACTTGTCCTGGTTCTCGATTGAAGAGGATGTCGCTGTATACTTTCTCGAGTGGTGCGTATGCAGGTGCGCTCGGGTTGTGGTGAGAAGAAAACGGTCGATGGGGTAAGTCGGCTTCGGGGCAGATGAGACAAGTTCCTCGTGCCCGTTGAAGTTCTCTGCCGTCGGGTAGTAGTAGCGAATCTTTGTCGAGGACTCCTGCTCGTATTGTGTTATTTAATACTGTGTTGCTTGGATGTCCTGTGCGTGCGTGCCAGATGTCTTCAGGAGCGCGATGTCCGGGTGAGCGTTGATACGCGTCGGAGTTGGAGTAGAAGCTGGCGACGACATTGGCGCTTCTGTGGACTTCTCGTTGAGTCGGGTTCAGTTGCTGTGCGGGTGTTGGTGGTGCTTCGTGGACGATGACTGGTGTCGTTGGTCCTGCTGCTGCCGATGATGTTTCTGCTGCTGTCGATGTTGTCTCTGCTGCTGCCGATGTTGTCTCTGCTGCTGCCGATGTTGTCTCTGCTGCTGCCGATGTTGTCTCTGCTGCTGTCGATGTTGTCTCTGCTAGTGCCGTTTGTTGAATTGTTGCTAACGCTCGTGTTCGTTCTGCTTCAGGGATGATGTGCGAGTACCAGAAACCTCCCGGGCTGAAGTCGGGATCGAGATCCGGGGGATGTGTCCAATCGGCGAAGTTGACGATGGCGTCGCTATCTGCAGTGCCAAGGTCGGGGACGAAATCGAGGACGAAGACGTTGTTCTTCAAGACTGCTCTTCCGATGTAGAGGCCGCCCTTCCCGTGGTATAGTTTAAACTCCTGGGTGGTGCTGTCGGCTTCCAAGTGGATGCCTTTCGCCATCAGCTGGCTGACACTAAGTAAGTTATAACCGAGTCCTTCTGCGATGAGTACCTTTGACATGTGCAGTATGAATTTTGTCTCTCTTGATTGAAGCTGAACTACTCCTTGTCGTCGTGTGCGCAGGTTCTGGTTGTTGGCTACCGTGATGACTACTTCTCGCTGGAGTCGATGTTCGCGTTGAACGAAGCGTCCCGAGGAGCACATATGTTGTCCGCAGCAACCGTCCAGGAACCAGGTGTCTTGCCCGGACGGTTCGCTTTGAGCGATGGCGGCGTACGTCGGATTCGGTTGGAGTGACTCGTGGCGAGGCGTCCTGTTGTCGAGCTCTTCTTCCGGTGAGTAGTGAGGTGGTGATTTGGTTGTGGACGAATCAGTTATCTTCACCATGCAATTGACAATGTTTCTTGCTCCTTGTGCAGATTGTCCTGTTGGAGTCGTTGAAGCTTGGATTGAGGTCGTCGGATTTGCTTGTGTTGAGGCAACTTGGGAGCTTGAAGGCCGGAGTTGTCGCTGTGGTGTTGTCTGACGAGACGGGCAGTGCGTGCGAGGGTGTCCCGAAGTCTTGCAGATGTGGCAAAACGGAGGTACCGTCTTCACTTGTTGCTGTTGTCGATTGTTGTTGTTGTTGTATCGTCGCTGAATGTGAAACGCAAACTCCGGTGCTAATGTTTTCTTCTTGTGTCTTTCTTCTTGCAGGTCCATGTCCTGCTGCTCGGCATGAATTTCGGCGCAGAGTGCCGCTTCGGAAATCCTCCCGTGTGCTCGTAATATGGCGCGAGTGGAGCGCCAGTGGGGGCCGAGACCGCCGATGACCACCGTGACAAAGGCGTCTTTTGAAATCGACCCTCCGCATCGAAGAAGCTTGTCGCGCAGTTCGCGGCAGCGGCTGATATAAGCCATGCCTTTCTCGCCTGGTTTCATTTCAATTGTTGTCAGCTGCACCATTAACCTGCTTTGATTTACGCTGTCTGTTGCTTGATACAGGTTCTTCAGGTGGTTGTACGCGAGCTCCGCGGAGTTGCCGTAGCCTCGGTAAGTCCTGATGTTCTGATGCTGGGTCGGGGTGATGTTTCTTAGCAGTATCGTGTACGCCATCATTGATTGATAGGTGTACTGCTGCTTCTCATATTGTGTCCCGTTTGTTGGATATGGCAGGGACTCGTCGAAGAAGCCGAGAATCTGTGCTCCTTCCATCATCAGTTCGAACTCGAACGACCAGGTGAAGAAGTCTTTTCTGTCGAAAGGCTTTGTCGTTTGCAGCTTGAGAACATGCGCGAATTGCGATTGAACTTGTAATGCGTCCAATGCCCTTTCTTGTGCCGGTGCAGATTGCGGTTGCGGCATGAAGCTGACGGAGCCACGCTGGGGCTCGTACGGCGCAAAGGTAGGCTGCTGTTGTTGTTGTTGTCGAATTCCGCGTGCGTAGGATGAGCCGTCGAGACTCATAGGAGTTACGTTGTTGTTGTTGCTGTTGTTTTACTGCGCAGGTACTCCTTGCTGGTGCTGCTCGTAGAAGGACATGAAGGAGAAGAATTTCTCCATCATGCTTGGATCGAAGCCTGCGGGCGTTTCCGTAGACCCAGCTGCTGGTCTCGTGGTAGTCCCTTCTTCCGTCTGTAGACCAGAGACAGGAGGTGGAGTAGGGGTAGTGCCTGGAGAACCGTTGGAGGAGCTCCTCTCCTTCCTAGTAGACATGTCTTCCTTGTATTAAGTATTAAGAGAAAAAGTAACTTTGAACTCTGTCTGCTCTCATACCATGTTGGGCTGAGATGCCCTAGGATCTTTGTAGAGTTAAAGTCTAAGTAGGATTGTAATAGCGGAAGCGTTTGAATGAAAAGTCCTTGAACCACCTTGCGCTAGTATGTGAGGGCAAAGTAAGTTAATTAAAACAAGCAAATACAAGGCTTTATATAAAAGTACAAGGAATACGAATAGATATATTTAAACTGTTTTGCTGTTGCGATTCGATACAGTGCGACTCGGGCAACTGCTCAATGTCGAGTCAGTTGTGTGTCCTTGCTGTTGCGCTGTATTTGTCAAGTCAAAGGTCGCTGACTTTTGACCTTCGCGTAACCTCCAGGCGGTTACCCTAACCTCCGAGGGTTGACTCGCGATGCTTCGATTTGGACTGCTTCGCTTGTGTCATGAGTTTCGACACGACAGAGGCGCTTTAAGACTTATTGTTCCCGACACACAGGACGACTACTACTACCAACCGAGATTCTAAGTCCAAGGGCCTCTGGCCAGGCCTGTTTCTTCCACGAGTAATTAATTCCGATTTTTTTTTTAAAAATCAGAGTGGATATTTCAAGATTCATTTCAGGGTGTGGCCAGTGCAGCATGATTTTCAGTGTTTTTTTATTTATCGTTTCAATCTACCTGCCTTTATAGGAAGATTTCGAAATGAGTTACAGCAACTCCAACCCTGGGTCAACCCCTGGCCGCCTGTGTTCTTTGTGTGTTGGAAGTACAGATAGACGGTGACAGGCGAATGAGACGTGTAGCGGTTTGCCAGACAGCAATGCACTGTTGGTTGGACAGGAACGTGAGGACCTCGAGATTCCCTTTTCTCCTCGTTAGGGTTGCGAAACAAATCATCATTCGCGAATGTTTGCGAGATTGACGGAACCAACAGCAACTCGTGTTGGTGCCTGCTCCGTGGTGCCACCGACGGAAACGGAATCGCGACGAGCCACGAAACGCGTGGGGCGTCAGTGCCGTGCAGGTTTGGCGCGAAACCAAGGGCAGGGAAGGGGCAGTTCCCAGAGCAGACACGAACCAGACCATGCCAGGCCAGGCCTGGCCACACAACAGGGCAGGCTCGAGGGCGGGCAAACTGCGTCTCCTTTCAAAACTTTGGGATTACCGAGCCGAAATCCGTCTGTGAGAGGAGCTTGGGGGCAGGAAGCAGAGGGAGTGTCGTGCAGACAAGATGCTATGGCCATCAGTGGCTGGAGATAGCTTATTTGTACGGAACTAGAAGCTTGTTGCTGATCTTAGCTTACTGACCTAACTAACCGCGTCCTGTAATTAAGTTATGTTATTTATGGGTCACGCCTGCTTACCTACTAGCAACGGATAGCCTATTTTTTTCGTGCATCCGTTCTTAGGTTCGTTTTAGGATTGTAATGCTTGTAGTTTTTCGCGACAATGGCGAGTCTTTGGGGTTCGCGACGCACGTCTAGACAGCTCACGCGCGAATCGAAACGCGAGAAAAGCAAAAGGCCCGAAGAGCCGAATGAATTAGACTTAACTCGCCTGCAGTCCACTAACTCTAGGACTCGCAAGAAGGCGGAGCTTATCAAGAAAGCCAGCGACTCGCGACGCCGGTTCCACTTTAGAGAGCTCTTGTGTATCGCGATTCCACCAAACGCGACGCTAGAAGACGGTCATCTGCCATGGCCGCTTTGTTCCCCACCCACCACACCCGACGCATCAGGCAGAGGTCAGTTCCAAACGCAATTGTCAGATGTCAGTACCGTTACCGTTACAGTTGTTCATTAGACGAGGTTGTGAATTTGACGACTACCGCTCTCCACTACTTGAAGAGCCCCTATTTTCCAGAGAAACCATCAGAACGCCATCAGTGGAACCAGCAACCGCCCTGATCGCTAATAGATCTCTGAAGATACACTCGCTCTTCCAAGAACTCGATACGTTCATAGAATTCTCTTTTAGTATTCGCACCCCGCGGATTTGCGATCCTGTACAGACCCGTATGCCATTCTGGCTATTAGCTGCGACTTTTGAGGCGCCTCAGAAGTCATTTGCACCCTGCGGATTTGGGATCCCTTACAGACCCATATGCTAATCTGGCGATTAAGACCTTGCTCTTGTGATTCCCTCTCTGACTAGGTTTCTGCCTAGTCTCTGAGCGCCGCTACCTTTCACCTCACCAGGTCATCTCGCTCTTCCTGTCCCGCGTCTGACCGTTGATGCGCTCCAACATTTGCACTTGACGCCAGATTTTCCGTCTATGCCTCCCTTCCCCTCCCCGCTGCCTTCCTTCCCCACTCCCGGTACCTCCTCCCCCGCTCCCTCTTTGCCCCCCTCCCCGCACCCCCTCACAGGGCTGACGTGGTTCCCGAACGCCAGTGCGGACGACGATTGGCTGGAAGAGGCTGCTACGGCCTCACACGCCTTGCCGCCGGCTCAGGTGCGGTGCTGTGGGGTTGGGAGGTGCATATTGAAGTTGTGAAAGGGTGGAACGCGGTGTTAGGTGCACCAAGAGGGTTTGGCACAGGGATGTTTCGCTGTGAGTAGGGTTCAGGAATGAAATAAATGGGTCTGCTGCCTCTTCACCTCTATAATTCCACTCAACCCCATTCTTCCATGCGCAACCCCCCTCTCCCCGCCCTCCTCCCCCTCCTCCCGGCCCTTCTAACCCCCTCCCCGTACCCCCCCCCAAACCCCACGGAATTGTCGTAAGCAGGCTGCGAGCAGGAGCGCTGTATCAGGACACGTGCGAGAGGAGGTCGTCAAGATCGAGGAGATCTCCACAGAGATCGTGACCGTCCAGGAGATATCCACCGAGATCGGACGGCCAGCCAGGTCCCGCCGATCAGGGGCAAGAGCCGCGCGAGAAGCAGGCTCAGGCGAAGCGGAGGAGAAGAAGAAAGGGAAGAAGGGGAAGAAGGTAGCTAGGTCGAAACGAGAAGCACAGCCGCCGGATGAGGCGACTAGCGCGGATCCTAGGTTGCCTGAACGGGTGCGGCCTGCAGTAAGAGATGTTGTAGTGCCACAAACAACAGCGGAAGCACAGACGCCCAGTTCTAGCCCTGCTCCTGCTGCCAGTGGTGCTGGTGGTGCCAGTGGTGCTGGTGGTGCCAGTGGTGCTGGTGGTGCTGGTAGGACTGGGCTTATAGCTGGCTTGGCAGCAGGGGCAGCAGCAGCAGGCGGGGCCGTAGCAGCCGGGGTGGCAGGTTTGGTTGCAGGGCGAGAAGCCAAGCCAGCAGAAGAAGCAACCAGCGGGGATGCGATGGAGGGGGTGGAAGGTTCAGAAGGGGTGCGAGGTTCGGAAGGGGTGGGGGGGTCGGAAGGGATGAGGGAAGACTCGAGAACGTCAGTTGCAGCCGTGCTGGCGTCAGGGGACACTGCAAGAGACCTCAGTAGTGTTGGCGACTCAGAGTCTGCCGTACAAAGTCTGCCTGAACCAACAGCACAAGCAGCACGAACAGCAGGGGCAGCAGAAGCAGCAGAAGCAACAGAGGCAGCAGAAGCAGCAGACACGGGTGATAGAGGTGAAGCGGCAGAAGCAGGTTCAGCAGGGGAAGCAGGCCCGAGCGGAGCAGCAGTTGCTGCTGCAGCTGGGGCTGGTGCCGGGGCAGCAGTGGCAGGCGCCGTGGTAGGAGGAGCTCTAGGCGCTGCTCTAGGCTCTCGGGAAATCTCTAGAGACGATCCCAGAGAGCAGTCCGGTGGGGGGTCGAAACGAGCCACCCCTGGGACTCCGCTAGGTGGGAGCTCGCCTGTGTCTGCAGGGGAAGGGGGGGGCAGGCGGGAGGCGAAGGCGAAGCGGAACAGGGTGGGGGAGGGGGCGTTTGGATCAGGGGATCAGCAGGAAGGGGTGTTCGGTGGGGAGGTTTCTGGGGGGAGCGGACGGCAGGGGAGCCAGGGGCGCGGAAGCATGGGGAGAAGCAGCGGCAGTAGTGGCAGTGGCAGAGATAGGGATACGCTCCTGCAGCAGCAGCAGGTGCAGCAGCAGCAGCGGCAGCAGCAGCAGCAGTCATGGTCGAAGCAGCCCCTACCTGGTCATGGTCCTGGCGGCGCTACTGGTATGCCTCCTATACGCAGCAACAGCGAGCTTCCCCCCCTTCCCTACCGCAGCACCAGCGGCCTTCCCCCCCAGCCCCTCCGCAGCAGCAGCGGCCTTGCTGCCCTCTCCGCACCAACCAATAGCAATCTCCTGCAGCGCGCCGCCACGGGCAGCGGTGACCGTTGGATCTTCCACTCTGGCGCGGATCGGGACCAGCTTGTGGAGTCGGATTCAAGTGATGACTCGGAGACGATGAGTGGGCGGCTGGAGGGCGGGTTGGGGGACTCGTGGGGGAGAGCGCGAGGGGGAGACGAAGCAGGGTCGTTCAAAGCGGGGAGTCTGGCGAGTCAGGGGTCTAGAGGCGGAGGCATGAGTCCCGTATCTGAAATAGGGGAGCAGGGAGCGGGTACCATTTCAGGGAGAGCGAGGGGCGGGTTATGGCATGGGGCTCCTCGCCCTAGCAGCGCGGGCAAGTCTGGGAGATCACGGCTAGGAAAGAGATCGCCTAGAGGTTCGTCTCTAGGGGCAGGGATGCTGGAGCGAGTAGCAGGTGGGACGGCGGACAGCAGAGGGAGTTTTGGCACAGGGGCGGAGATTAACAGAGCGAGTAAGAGCATGAGGGGGTTGCCAGTAGAGGGGTTGGCCAGCGCTGGGGCTAGTGGGGCGTGGAGCTCGTCGGATGGCGAGGGGAGTGTGGAGAGGAGGGGGGCAGCAGCGGCGGCTCAGCCTGTGGTTGTGGGATTTGTGGGGCCTGCCAGGCCGGGTACGCCTGTTTCGCTGTCCAGGGTTGGGTCTGGGGCTCCTGTGCTGCGCCCTGCGACTTCGGGGGGTTTGTTGCTGGAGGATGTGGGGAAGTATGATGACTGGGTGGTGTATGAGAGTGAGGGGGAGGAGGAGGAGGTGCAGAGTAGGCTTGTCCGGGGGAGGGGGAGAGTGGTGGAGAAGAGGGTGGTGCAGGAGGGGGGGGTGGCGGGGGTTGTGGATAAGAAGGAGGTGAGGGAGGGAGGGCATGCACAGGGAGTAGGAGCAGCAGCAGCAGCAGCAGCGGCAGGGGCAGGGGCAGCGGGGATGACGGTTGGGAATGTGGGGCGGAGGAATGGGGTAGAGAGGGACGTGTGGAGAGCAGGGGAAGAGGACTCTGATGACTCGGACTCGGAAATCAAACACGAGGCGGGATGGGGGCCTGCCTCACAACAGCAGCAGCAGCAACAGCAGAGTAACGGATTCATGTTCAACAGCCAAGGGGGAATGCCAGGGGGCGGGTTTCACCCGGGGGAGGTTCATTCGGGGCAGGGTCAGCCTGGCGCAAGGCATGCACCCCAACCACCCACCAGCCCGCGACCATCATCTCCCCGACCTCTCCCTTTCGCATCTAGGTCTCGGTCCTCTGCCCCCGCTCCTCCTCACCCCCAGCAGCAGCTCCCCCCTCGCCCTGTCGGCCCTCCTACCGCCTCCTCCTCTCAGCTCGGCCCTTCACAGCCCCACCCATTCGCGTCAGGAACAGCAGGTAAGCCGCGCATACCCCCCATCCCCCCGGCTTATGGTCACTCCCCTGCTTATGCCGCACCTGCTGCTGCGTCTGCTGCTGTGCCGGGTTCCGGCCTGCACCCGTTCGCCCCTGGTGGTTACGCGGGAGGGGCGGGAGCTCCTGCAGCAGCAGCAGGGGCTGTGCCTGGGGGCCAGCAGGCAGGGGGGCAGCAGGCAGGGGGGCAGCAGTCGTGGGGGGGGTCTGTGGCAGGGTTCTTTGCAGGGGCAAGCGCGTTTGTGTTTGGGGCGAAGCATGACGGGCAAGCAGGGAGAGAGGCAGGGAAGGAGGCGCAGCAAGGAAAGGACTTGAATCAGGCAGGTGATGCTGGGGCTGGGTTAAGGGACGGGGAGCAAGGGGGGTCTGGGGCGGCAGGTACAGCAGCTGCAGCAGGTGTAGCAAGTGTAGCAAGTGTAGCAAGTGGGGGCAGTGGTAGTGGCGGTGCCAGTGGTAGTGGTAGTGGTAGTGCTATGCGCCCTCCTCGTCCTCCTTCCCTTGCCATTCCTGGAGCAAAGGATAATGCCACTAGCCCTGGTGCTGGCCGCTATTCCACCCATACACATGCAGGAGCAAACGGAGAGGTTGCAGAGCCGCCAGCAGCAGCAGCAGCAGCTAGTGCTGCTGGTGCTGCTGCTGCTGCTCCTGGTGTGTTTGTGCTAGCGGAGGGGCATGAGGCTCTTATGTCTCCCATTGCGTTCGTTACAGTGTCGCCTGCTAAGAGCACAGGGAGAGGCGCAGATGGAGCTGCATTGCCAGGGGCAGCTGCAGCAGCGGCGGCGGTGCCTGGGAGAGCGGTGGGAGGAGCAGCAGAGATGGGGGTGATGAGTCAGCAGCCTGCACAGGGGTACCGGCCTGGGGCGGGGCTTGGTGGGTGGAGTAAAGGCTCTGGTGCTAGGGCTGGTGGGTTTGGTATAGGGTGGGGGGAGGGGAGTGAGGAGGAGGAGAGTGAAGAGGCGGAGAGTGAGGAAGCGACGGAGGAGGGTGAAGAGTATGAGGAGGAGGAAGAGGATGAAGAGGAGGAAGAGGAGGAGATGGAGTATAGTAGTGATGAGGAGAGTGAGGAGGAAAGTGAGGAAGAGATTGAGGAAGAGAGTGAGGAGGAAATTGAGGAGGAGAGTGAAGAGGAGATCGAGGAGGGGAGCGAGGAGGCAACTGAGGATGCAAGTGAGGAGGAAGAGGAGGAAGAGGAGGAGGAAGAAGAGAGCGAGGATGAGAGTGTAGGTGCGTGGGTGGGCAGACCGATACTGGCACCGTCACAGGGAGGCACTCCCACGGGCTATAGCGGCATGAAAACCCCCGATGCAATCGGAGGCATCGTGTTTATCAACGAGTACGGCGCCGCACCCCCCTCCCCTTTTCTGGAGGTAAATTCTATGCGTACTGGAGGGGGTACGAGCGGGGCCAGCACGCCGTTGAGTGGGGGAGCTGGCATGGGAATGGGTGGGGCGAGTGGGGCAATGGGGGGGGGGAGCAAGTCGCCTAGTGGCAGGCCAGGGGAGGATGATGAGCGTGTGTTTGTGGTTTTTAACAAGTCGAGATTCTCACCCACTGCTGCTGGCGCTGCTGCTGCTGCTGCTGGCGCTGGTGGTGCTGCTGGTGGTGCTGGTGGTGGTGGCTTGTTGGCTGATACTCAAGGATCAGGGACCCTTGTGGTGAGGATTGAGAGAGGTGCGGAGGAGGAGGGAAGTGAGGAGGACGAGGGGGAGGTTGGCAGTGAGGGGTGGGATGGAGGGGAGAGTGGGGAGGAGGATGGGAGTGAGGGTCGGAGTGGGATGGAAGGAGAGAGTGAGGAGGCTGAGAGTGAGGAGGGAAGTGGGTTTGATGGAAGTGCTGAGGGAGAGAGTGAGGGGGAGAGTGAAGGGAGTGAAGGGGAGGAGAGTGGGACAGAAGGGAGTGAGATGAGGGTAGGTAGGGAGGAGGGAGAAGATGGGGAATTTAGTGCGGTGGAGAGTGGTGCTTCTGGAGGGAGTGAGGGGAGCGAGGAGGAGAGTGAGGAGGGGAGTGAGGAGGGGAGTGAGGAGGGGAGTGAGGAGGAGAGTGAGGAGGGCAGTGAGTCAAGCCTTAGCCCTGTGGGGAGTTCAGACGAGGGAGAGACTGAGTACGTGGGGAGTGGGGAGAGTGAGACAGAAGAGAGTGAGGAGGAGAGAGGGAGTGAGGAAGAGAGTGGGAGTGAGGAGGAGAGTGGGAGTGAGGTGGAGAGTGAGAGTGAGGGGACGGAAAGTGGTTCGAGTGAAAGCGAGGGGAGTGAGGAGACAGGGTCGAGTGATGATGAGGATGGCACAACTTTGGATGGCACATGGGACGGCACATTGGATGGCACAATGGATGGCACTGTGGGCGGCACAATAGACGACAGAACGCTGGATGGGACAGAGGTTGTGACTCCAGGCGGGAGTGACACTATGGAGCGGACTTTCACCCTGGAAGAGACCGAGACAGCTGTTAGTGAGATGCTGGGAAGGACGTTGACTAGGGAGGGGAGTGGGACTATTGAGGGGAGTGAGCTTATAGAGGGGACGGATGCAATGGGGCGAAGTATCACGTTTGAGACAGTGGGGAGGACTGAGACGTTTGAAGGCAGTGGGACTATAGAGAGAAGTGGCACTATGGAGGGGAGTGGTACTATTGGGAGGAGTGACACTATGGAGGGAAGTGAGGCTATGGGGAGAACCAACACGTTTGAAACCCTCGGGGAGACTAGGACTTACGAAGGCAGTGATACAATGGAGGGGAGTGAGACTATGGAGGGGAGTGAGACCTTTGAAAGGAGTGGCACTATGGAGGGGAGTGAGACTGCTGGGACGGCAGATAGAACCTTGACTTCGGAGGGAACTGATGTTCCGAGTGATAGTGAAAGGGGTGGCCGTAGGAGGGCAGACAGTGACAGGGACAGCAGTCAGAGGGATGGTAGCTCGTATGAGGAAGATAGCTTATCCAAGGGGAGTGAGGAGAGTGAAGAGAGTGAGGAGAGCGAAGGGAGTGATGTGACAGAGAGTGTGGAAGATGGTGATACTATGGAGGATAGTGATAGTATGGAGGGGAGTGAGGCGGTGAGCAGGAGTGCAGCGAGCAGGAGCAGAGGAGGGTACAGTGATGATGTTGTGCTTATAGAGGTGGTGACTGTAACAGGGTCTCGAACCAGTGGGACCCGGGAAGACTTGTCGAGCGTGCGAGGGATGAGTGAGATTGGGAGTGAGATGGGGAGGAGTGAGATGAGTAGGAGGAAGAGAGCGGGGAGTGAGAGTATGGGGAGTGATACAGATGGGACAGAGATGGAGGCAAGTGAGTCGGGCATGAGTGGGAGCGAGGAGAGTGGGAGTGAGGGGAGTGGGGATGAGGAGAGTAGGAGTGAGGAGAGTGGTAGTGGAGGGAGCAGCAGGAGTGGAAGTGATGAGAGTGAGGGGAGTGAGAGTGAGGGTAGTGAGAGTGATGGCGATGAGAGTGCAAGTCACAGCTCAGCAGTGTCTGGAACATATGACTCCCACTCCCACACCCATTCACAGAGCAGTGAGGGTTCCGAGTCTGAAGGTGGCTCAGAGAAAGGAAGCATCCACTCTGGTTCCCACACAACCAGCCCTCATACTACACTCACCCAAGCGTCTGCTTCAGAGGTTTCAGGATCGGAATCTGGCGAATCAGAGTCAGAGAAGATGTCCAGGTCAGGTTCTCACGCGTCCAGGTCAGCATCACATGCTTCCAGGTCAGCATCACATCATTCCAGGTCAGCATCGCACCGTTCCAGGTCAGCATCCGATGCTTCAGGAGGAGCGGGAGCGAGCAAAAACGGGACTGCTGCAAGCTGCAGCCCCTCTGAAGCAAGCCGGAGGCCCTCTGCTGCAAGCCAGTCCCCGGGCACAGAGTCGCCTCCTAATGAGTCGCTCAGTAAGGGATCAGTGGGAAGCCAGTCTCGGCTGGGAAGCAAGAGTGGGTCTGATGGGAGTGGGTCTCATGCTAGCAAGTCCCTTGCTAGTACATCCCACTCTAGCAAGTCTCGTGTGAGCAGCTCTCAAGCTAGTAGGTCTCGTACTAGTGGGTCGCAGGGTAGCAGGTCGGTGAGGAGCAAGTCAGAGGGAAGCGAATCAGAGAAGAGCGATTCGGAATATGAGGGTACGGGTGAGGGGTCTGAGGAGGAGGGTGAGGGATTCAGCAAGAAGGGCAGTGAGAGGTACAGCGATATTGATAGTGGGAGTGAAGGGAGCAAAGAGAGCGAGAGTGTGAGGAGTGCGAATAATGCTGCTGTTGGTGCTGCTAATGTTACTGCAAGTGGTGCTGCTAGCCCCAGCCATCAGCTTGGGACGCCAACAGGTGGCGCTGCGTCATTGGCGGATGCGATGCGGTCGCCTGGATGGAAGAGACCCCTCACTGTGAAGGTGGGGGGTAGCTCCCAAGAGCCTAGTTCAGAGGAAGAGGAGGTGGAGGAGGAGGAGGAGGAGGAAGAGGATGATGATGAGGAGGAAGGCAGTGAGGGTGTTACTGCAACTGAGGAGGAGGAGGAGGAGGAGGAGGGAAGCTCAATTGAGGATGAGGATGAAGAGGAGGAGGAGGAGGAGCAGGAGGAGAGTGTGTTTACAGACAATAGGAGCTCAGAGGGACAAGGGAGTTTAGAGAGCGACAGGAGGTCAGAAAGTGAGAGGGGATCAGAAGGGGAAGAAGACGAAGAGGAGGAGCAGGAGGAGAGTGTGTTTACAGACGACAGGAGCTCAGAAGCAGGGCAAAGCACAGAAAGTGACAGGCGTTCAGAAGGGGATAGGTCAGAGGGTGACAGGTCAGAGGAGGATGGGATGTCAGAGGGAGAGGATGATACCGAGGAAGAAGGAGGGGAGAGTTTTGGGAGCGAGGAGGAGGAGAGGGCGGCAAAGATGCTTCGAGCAGAGAGCAAGAGGCGGTTTGATGCAGTGCTCGGGCAGCTGAAGGGGCAGCTGAAGGTTCTGTCGCAGCAGGATTCACAGGGGAGCGGGCAGTCTGAAGGCAGTGAGGGGAGTGGGGAGGGGAGTGAGGAGGGGAGTGAGGAGGGGAGTGAGGGATTTTGGGGGTCTGATAGGAGTGGAGTGGGTGTGGGAGATGGGAGGAGAGAGGAGGAGGAGAGGGGAAGAGTCGCAAGAGGAGGATGAGTATGGTTCCAGAAGTGCGAGTGAGAGAGAGAGTGAGAGGGAGAGTGAGAGCGAAGGAGGAAGGCACGAGGAGGAGGAGGAGGAGTGGGTGGAGGAAGAAGCAAGGGATTCGGTTAGGAGTGGTTCGGAGGAAGCCTGGGTGCACGGCAGTGAGGAGGAACAGGATGATTCAGAAGAAGGGGAGGAGGAGGGGGGAGGGGGAAGGGAAGAGGAGGAGGAGGGGGAGGGGCAAAGGGAAGAGGAGGAGGAGTACGGTTTCTCATCAGAAGATGAAGCTTCTGCTGCTGTGCCCGCTGCTGCAGTAGTTACTGCAGCTGCTGCAGCTTCCCCCATGGCCCCACCTGCTCTAGTAGCTCGAGCTGCCCCACCTGCCCCACCTGCCCCACCTGCCCTAACTGGCCCAGCACCCCCAGCACCCCCAGCAGCCGCAGCAATCCCAGCACCCGCAGCAACCCCAGCAGTCCCAGCAGTTCTAGCTTCCCCCACAACCCCAGCTTTTCCAGCAGCTCCCCCGCAGAGGTTCCACCACCCACAGCCGCCCACCACGCCCTCTCTTCAGCCGTCTCCACCCTCCCTCGCCTTGCGCCGCTCCTTCAAGCGCCCCCAGCCCCTGCGCCCCTCCTCCTCCGCCTCGCCCCACCCCTTCGCCCAAGCGACTGGGTCTGCTGCCAGCACTCCACAGAGCACGGGAGGGTCCTCTGGAGGGTCTACCCCCCACAGTGCAATCGCCGTTACCACTAGCGCGTCTGATATGGCTGGCCCTCGGCCTACAGGTGAGTTTCCCTCTCCCTTTTACCGGCCATCATCCCCTGGTTCTGCTTCTGCTGCGCTTGCTGCTTCTGCACCTGGAGCGCCTGTGTCTGCTTCGCCTGTGCTTGCTGCCGCACCTGCACGTGCTTCGCCTGGCCCTGCTGCCTCTGCCGCTCCTCTTCCTCCTGCTGCTGCTGCCTCCGTTGTTGCCCCTCCTGCTGGCTCGGCTGTTGCCCCTCCTGCTGCTGCCTTGGTTGTTGCCCCTCCTGCTGGCTCGGCTGTTGCCCCTCCTGCTGGCTCGGCTGTTGCCCCTCCTGCTGCCCCTCCTGCTGCCTCTGCTGCTGCTTTCTTGTCTGCAGGTCCCCAACCAGTGCAAGAAAGCGAGCACTACACTACGAGGCTGCTGACCAATCAGGAGCAGCGTCCACCTGGAACAGCAGAAGCAGCAACGTCACAAGCAGCAGCTTCATCAGCAGCAGCTGCTGCAGTGGTGCCTACTGGCAAGCCATCCATGGCTGTTCCAGCCGCCTCTCCTGCCCTAGCCCCTGCTGTTCCTCCAGCTGCCTCCCCTGCTAGTGCCCAACCTGCACCCCCTGCCGGCACCTCCGCTGCAACCCTAGCTGCATCTCCAGCAGTGTCCCCAGCCGTCTCTCCCAAGCCTAGTACCAGCTCCTCTCCCTCCCGAGGCGTCTCTGCGTGGACATCCCTCTTCCGTCCCCTCTGGGGTACCTCGCCTGCCACTGCTGCCACTGCCGCTCCCGCTGATGGCGCTGATGGTGCTGCTGGTGCTTCTGCCGCTGCTGCAGCTGTTACAGAGCCGGTCGTTCCTTCAGCAGCAGCAGGGCCTGCAGCAGCTGTACCGCTGCCAGTCGCCCCACCTATGGTAGCGCCTGCACCAGTAGCACCTGCACCAGTAGCGCCTGCACCAGTAGCACCTGCACCAGTAGCGCCTGCACCAGTAGCACCTGCACCAGTAGCACCTGCACCAGTAGCGCCTGCACCAGTAGCGCCTGCACCAGTAGCACCTGCACCAGTAGCGCCTGCACCAGTAGCGCCTGCACCAGTAGCGCCTGCACCAGTAGCGCCTGCACCAGTAGTGCCTGCACCAGTAGTGCCTGCACCAGTAGCACCACCACCACTAGTAGCACCTGCAGCAGCAATACCTGCACCTATAGAGCCTGCACGAGCCCCTGCAGTAGCAGCAGCTGCTGCTGTTGGAAGGAAGACCGCTCCCCCTGTTGCTCCTGCACCTCCCCTCCCCACACCTTATCACCAGTCTTCTCCTCCTCACTACCCACCCCATCCGTCCCAGCATCCTCCCCCTCCTCCCCAGTATTCCCCTTCTCCATCCACCCCAGAGTTCTCTCCCCTTCCCTTGTCTCACCCCCCTGAACCCATCCCCTCTATCCTCCACCCAATGGACCCACGTGCACATCCAGTTTCCGTGCCTCCTCACACTACAACCTCTCCACCTGCCCTTACAACAGCCTCTCCCACCACCTTTGCTACAGCCGCTCCTACCACCACCCATGCTAAAGCCTCTCATCGCCCCCAATTTACTGCTGCTCCCTCTCCTGCAGTCCTCCACCCTCTGGACCCACGAGCTCAGAAGCCGCTGCCAGCACAGGTGCCTAAAAAGACTCAAGGGCTTCAAGTGACTGAAGGGGACGAAAGGACTGAAGGGGCCCGGGATGGGGTTTTCCCCGTAGGCGCTCTGGTGCATGGATTGTCGGCTGACTCTGATTCCATGTCGGCTGGATCCAGGCACGATGCCTATGCTGATGCTGACGCTCCTACTCATGCCGGCGCTGGTGTTGATGCTGGTGCTGTTGCTGATGCCGATGTTGATGCGAGTGGGAAAGGCAAGTATGGTGGTGGTGCAGGGTTGGTCCCTCCGGCCTTAGTCCCCGGTGGTGCAGGGAGCTCTCAGGGCTCCAGCCGGCCCGAGTCAAGGGAGTCAACAGAGTCAACCAGGGCGAATGAGTCACCTGAGAAAGCTGTATCAACGGCAGTTGGTGCAGAAAGAGGAGGGATGGAAAGAGGGGTGGAAAGAGGGGTGGAGAGGGGTGTGGAGAGAGGGGAAGGAGTGGTAGCGACAGAGGCATGGGTGCTTGCAAGCATGCGACAAAGAAAGAGGCTACAAGGAGGCTCGGAACAAGGCTCGGATGGAGGCTTGGAAGAAGGTTTGGAGGGAGGCTTGGAAGGTGGTCAGGATGAAAGCCCGGTACAGCTGCCTGGGAGGGGTAGTGAGTGTGGGGTAGTGGGGAGGGAGGAGAGTTTTGTGGCGGATAGTGGTTACAAGGGGAGTGCATTTGAGGGAGAAGGGGGTGAGGGAGAGAGAGAGGGTAGTGAAGGGGATGCAAGGGCGAGTGAGGCGGAGAGTGTGAGTGGTAGTGGAGAAGAGAGCAGGAGCAGTGTGGGGGGGAGTGATTATGGGAGTGAGGCTGAGAGTGATGTTGAGAGTGAGGGGGAAAGTGTTGATGGAAGTGGTCTGAGCGCGGAAGGAAGTGAGGGAAGCAGTGAGGAGACAGGGAGCAGTGAGGGAGAGAGTGAGGGAGGGAGTGGGGAGAGTGAGGAGGAGAGTGGGGAGGAGAGCGGGGAGGAGAGTGAGGGTAGTGTGACAGAGACAGATGCAGTGACCCGATCCAGCTACTCAGGGAGTGAGGGAGAGGAGTCAGAGAAAGAGGATGGGTCGAGCGAAGGGGAGAGTGAGAGTGGGGAGAGTGAGAGTGGGGAGAGTGAGAGTGGGGACAGTGAGAGTGGGGAGAGTGCGAGTGGAGAGAGTGAGAGTGGAGAGAGTGAGAGTGGAGTGAGTGAGAGTGAGGAACTAAGTACAGTAGGAACGATGAGTGTGGCACGGGAGGGAGGAGCGGCGGGTTCAACATATGCTGAGACAGAAACCGAGGCAGAAACAGAGACAGAAGCAGATGGGAGGAGTGAAAGGGTGGGGTTGGAGGTGGATGGAGAGAGTGTGGTGACAGAGGAAGGGGTGCTGATAGAGGTGGCGAGTGTGGCGAGTGTGGTGGGGAGGGGGAGTGTGGTGGGGAGGGGGAGTGTGGTGGGGAGGAGTGAGGGAGTGAGGGTAGACAGTCTGCTGATAGAGGTGGAGAGTGTGGCTGGGGGGGAGAGTGTGGCGGGTGGAGGGAGTGTGTTTGGAGGGGAGAGTGTGGTGGGAGGAGGGAGTATACTGGGAGAAGAAGATGTGATTCTTGAAGGGGGAGAAGAGGAAGCAGAGGGAGCACGCAGTAGGGAAGGAAGCGAGCCGGACAGGAGCGTGGGAAGTGAGGGAGTGGAAGAACAGGGGAGCGAGGAGAGTGAGGAAGTGGAAGAAAATGAGAGTGAGGGGAGTGTGTGGAGCGAACATATCAGCGGCGGGGAGGGGTTGGGTGGTGAAAGAGGGAGTATCGTCGGGAGTGGAAGTGAGAGAGAGGAGGCTGCGAGTGAGGGAATGGTGAGTGTGAAGGATGAGAGCCACTACGAGAAGCTCAGTGGTAGTGGAAGTGAATCGGGGTCCAAAGAGGAAGTGGAAGAAGAGGAATTGCCTGTGTCAATGGCAGCTGAAAAAGTGACAGCAGCAGCACCTCTGAGTCTTGATGAAAATCTCAGTGAAGTATCGGCAGAATCTGAAGAGGAAGTGGAAGAAGAGGAAGTGCCTGTGTCAGTGGCAGCTGGAGATGGCACACCAGCAGCACCTGCACTGGTAGCGGCAGCAGCAGTGGCAGTAGCACCAGTTTCAGCAGCAGTAGCATCAGCAGCTGAGCCGGTAACAGTGGCAGCACCAGCAGAGCCAGTGGCAGTAGCAGCAGCAGTGCCTGCTACTGCAGCAGCTGCCAAGCCTGCGGATGTGGCAAAGCCTGCTGACGTGGTGAAACCTGCTGACGTGGCACAGTCTGCTAACGTGACCAAGGCTGCTGCTGCAGCAAAGGCTGCTGACGTGTCGCTGGCAGCACTGATGGCAAGGACACCCGACGCGAGGCCGGTGACTCCGGTGCGGCACAGGACGTGGCTGGAGGTGCTGCAGAGCCATGCGGTGCTGTCAGAACTGGTGAGTGTGTGGTGCTGGGTGGTATGGTATGGTTTTAAGACTTGTAAGGGTGTCCCAGAGTGATGTAACAAGTGTCAAGCTAGTCGGTGCAGCGCAGAACATGGCTGAAGGTGCTGCAGAGCCATGCAGTGCTGTCGGAACTGGTGCCATGCAGTGCTGTCGGAACTGGTGCCATCGGAACTGGTGCCATCGGAACTGGTGCCATGCACTGCACTGCACTGCTGCAGTGGCCTGCAGTTCCTATGCTCCGTGGGCCCCTGCATCACAGCTGCCTGATCTTTCACCTTCCCTGCACTTCCCAACCTGCCTGATTCTTTCTTGTCTGCCGCTTTGCAGATGACGGAGCAGGACATGGGTGCGCTGCAGTTCCTGTGCTCCGTGGACTTCTACAAGTCGCAACACAGCATGGTGTGTGATGTTTAGGCTTCGCGGTTCCGGGTTTCGGGTTTTGGGCACCATGATTTATGGCTGTGTTTGTGAGGCATGACAGAATGTTGTGTGACGTCGCGCTTTTTTTTTTTTTTCAACCAAACCTTGCCGCCGCACCCTTGCATTTTCAGATGCAACTATTGCTTGGGTTGTATTACTGTGACTGTCCTTATCACCTGTCTCCAGGATTTCCGCGTGGACTTTCTCTTTGACGCCAATCCGTTCTTCACCAATGAATACGTATGCCCTACCTACCTGCCTACCTACCTTCATGCACGTCTACTGCCGTTTCAGATTTTGCCCATTGTTCTTCCTCATTCGGTTTGATTTCATGCCAGTGCTTTTCCTGCTTCCGAAAATTCGAGTCTGATCTGGCTTGGTATGACCCCCCTACGCTAAACTCCAAACCCTCGATCCTCCTCAATCCCGAATCCCCAACCCCTGAACCCGAAACCCCTTATCGCGTGCAGCTGAGCCGCGTCTTTGCTGTAGCGAGAAACCCCAAGGCTGACCCAATCATCATGTCGATTCACTGGTACGTGTGATATGAATGAATGATGACTTAATCATCATGTCTTATCTCTGGTATATGCTGCAATATAAGCAAGCATTGAATGTGAATCCCCTCCTTGCCATGTGATATGGCCTTCACTCCACCCACCATATCTGTTGCCCGTTTTCATCATTATCCCAAGCCTTTCCTCGGACATTCCGTCAACCTCGGCATCTCCTATCTTTGCTCGCCTCACTCCCATGCCTTCTGCCTCTCCTCTCAACCTGCCAGCACCCCCATAGCATGGCAACCAGGCAGGGACTTAACTAAGCGTCGCACGGGGTGGTTCGGCTGGGCTGCTGCCACTCTCACGCAGGGAGGGAAGGGAGGCGGTGCTGGTGCGGGTGGTGGCAGGAGCAGCTTCTTTACACTGTTTGCCTCTCGACCTGCCCTCTCTGCTTCTGAAGCCAACGAGGAGGCTGTGGTGAGTGGCGCTGGCAGACTGGCAGTGCTGGTGTCGATTTTGTTCTGCTAGTGCTGCTGGCAACAATGGTGGGTGGTAGCAGTGCTGGCAGAAGCAGCTTCTTTTCTTTCTTTTAGAATCTTTCTGACCAGCGACCACTATTCTTGCTGAACAATCGATCTCCCTTTTCCCCCGCATCCTTTCCCCATGAGCCACCCATCAGCGCATGAAGATGCTGGAAGAAGCCGCTCTCACCAATGGCCTTCTTCAGCTTCATACGTGCTGTACCGATTTCTATCCAATTCTCTCCCTGCTCAACTCCCTCCTACCCCCTCCCTCCTACCCTCCCCCCTCGTCCCCCTTCATCTCCTCCTCCCTCCCACGAGCCACCCATCAGCGCATGAAGATGCTGGAAGAAGCCGCTGTCACCAATAATCTCCTTCTTGCTGAAATCCCTCCTACCCTCCCCGCCCTTTCCCCACCCTCCCCTGCCTCTCCCTCCTCCTTCACACCCATCAGCGCATGAAGATGCTGGAGGAAGCTGCTCTCACCAATGGTCTCCTGGAGTGAGTTGCCTGTCTACCCCTTTTCAGAAAAAAAAAGATCCGAGTTTATGTATTTACTTCGTCTCAGTTGTTTTTCTTCTCTTCTGTGTCTCAGTTTCGTTTTTTCGTCTTCCTTTTACAGTCAGCCCAGAAGTTTCAATTCAGTCTTGGGTACTAATTGGTCGGTAATTTATATAAATATATATTAAAAAAAATACCTTTTTTCTTTTCGGATGCAGGTCATCGGAAGGTCCTGTGGTGTCGAGCTTGCTCCGCTGGTACACTGTTAAGTCGCTGGGGGGTGGAGAGGAGGAAGAGGTGGAAGAGGAGGAAAAAGAAGAGGAGGAGGAAGAGGAGGAGGTGGAGGAGGAGACGAAGAAAGCTGGGGGAGCTGAAGCTGTAATGACTTTGGAGACGTCTCAAAAAGCGAGTCCTGCAGGGAAGCAGGCAGATGGCCGTCCTAGTATCGAGGAGGAGGGAGAGAGTGTGGCTATGCGGCAGGATGCGGGAGAGAGTAGGGAGGAGTTGAGAATAGGGCGAATGGTGGGGGGAGAGAGTAGGGAGGAGTTGATTCAACGGGAGGTGGAAAAGAAGCAAGGAGGAGAAGAAGAGGAGGAGACAGAAGTGAGTCAAAGAGAGGAGGAAGAAGAGGGGGAAGAGGAGGAGAGTGGAATGATTGTAAAGGACCAAGGCACGTTTGAAAGGGATGGGGAGATGGAGAGGGTAGGAAGGAGCAGAGAGGAAGAAGGGGCGAACATAAGGGAGGTGGAGACGACGACAGGGAAAGCAGCAGACGTAGCAGGGACGGAGATCGAAGGTGTAGGGGCGGAGATTGAGGGTGTGGGGGCGGAGATTGAGGGTGTGGGGGCAGAGATTGAGGGTGTGGGGGCGGAGATTGAGGGTGTAGGATTGGGTTTGAAGGGAGAGCGTGCAATGGTAGTGGCAGCAACAAGTGATGCAGAGGGGGGGAGTGAGAAGGGTGAGAGTGAGACGGGTGTGACCGAGAGGGAGGAGAGTGAGTGGGAGGAGAGTGAGAGGGGGGAGAGCGACAGTGGCATGAGTGGCGAGGTTGAGCAGGACAGCTGGCTGGGTGAGGGGACGGCAATCGGGACAATGCAGGTCCAGAAGTTAAAGGATGGAGGGGAAAGAACGGCAGAGGATGAATACGAGGAGGAGGGGAGCAGTAAGGAGGAGGAGGGGAGCGATGAGGAGGAGGAAAGTGATATTTATGTGAGAGGGGACGATCTGAGGGGTGATGACCTGAGGGACGATGACCTGAGGGGTTCCAGTGGCAGTCTAGGGGATGCCATGCCTGGTATGGCAGGGGGAGGAGGTGGGGAGGAAGGGGAAGAGGAAGGTGCAGCAACAGGGGCAGAGGCAGGGGCAGAGGCAGGGGCAGGGGCAGGGGAAGTGGGGGGTGGAGTCGAGGGCGGGACGGAAGAGGAGGATTCGTGGATCGGGGTCCGCGTGGGTGGGAGGAGCGAGAGTAGAGAGGGCCGTGACAGGGGTGCGTTGCGATACGAGGGGGTAGGGAGTGAGGGAGGGAGCGAGGGAGGGAGTGAGGGGGAGAGTGAGGGAGGGAGTGAGAGGGGAAGCGATAGAGGGAGCGAGGGGGGGAGCGATGGGGGAGGGAGTGGGCAGGGGAGCTCCGTGGAGGGCGAGCTAGCAGAGCTGATGCATGCTGTGGATGGGCACTCGCTGCCCTTCTGGCATGCTGTTGCTGCCACAGGCGGAGATGGGCTGGTGGGACTAGAGGGACGGGAGGAACTGGAGGGTCTGGAGGGACTAGAGGAACTAGAGGGAGCAGAGGGAGGAGAGGGGCTAGAGGGCTTGGAGGCCCTGAAGGAGGCGGATGCTGATGCTGCTTCTGCCGCAGGTGTGCCTGCTCCTCGCTCCCGTACAGGGACGCCGATGCCTGGCATCCGTGCTGCTGCGTCAGGGCCTGCTGCCGCTGCTGCTCCGTCTTCTGCTGCACCTTCCATGTTCTCACGAGCAGGAACACCCATGCCGGGTGTCCGTCCTTCTGGCTTACCTCCTCCTCCTCCTCCTCCTCCTCCTCCTCCTCATCCCGTTCCCGGTGGTGGTGCTTCTCGTGCTGCTTTGCCCGCTGCTACTCCCGCCTTTGCCTCCCGTGCCGCTACTCCCATGCCGGGAGTGCATGCTGCTTCTGCTTTGCCTCCTCCTGTTCCTCCTTCTGCTGCTGCCCCTGCAGCGTTCTCTCGTTCCACCACCCCCATGCCCGGTGTGCATGCCGCTCTTGCTCCTGCTCCTCATCCTTCCAGGGCAGTAACACCCATGCCCGGTGTGCATTCTCCTGCTGCTCCTGCTGCTGCTCCTGCAACATTCTCTCTTGCCACCAGACCCATGCCTGGTCTCCATTCTCCTGCAGCGGGCTCCACTGCTCCTCCCTCTGCAACCGCTTCTCCTTCGTTCTCCCGCACTCTCACGCCCATGCCTGGCCTCCCCCCTCCTCCTGCTCCTCCTCCTCCTCCTCCTGCTTTCTCCAGGGCAGTGACGCCCATGCCTGGGATTTCACCTGCTTCTAGTGCTGCTAGTGCCCCTAATGCCCCTACTGCTACTGCTTCATTCTCCAGGGCAGTGACGCCAATGCCTGGGATTTCACCTGCTGCAAGCTTCCCTCCTCCACCTGCTCCCCATCCTCCTCATCCCGCTGCTAGTGCTGCTAGTGCTGCTAGTGCTGCTAGTGCTGCTGGTGCTGCTGGTTCAGCATTCTCCTCCAGGGCAGTCACGCCGATGCCTGGTGTCCATCACCCCTCCCCCTATCCACCTGCTGCTGCTGCTGCTGCGCCTCCTCCTGTTTTAGCTTCTGCCGCGCTCTCCCGGACAGTGACGCCCATGCCAGGTGTTCGTGCTGCAGCTACTCCCATGCCCGGCGTTCGCGCCACAGCAACGCCCATGCCTGGCGTGCACGACATGCCTGATGTGCGTGCCACAGCTACACCCATGCCCGGTGTGCGCGCTACAGTCACACCCATGCCCGGCATGGCTGGGGAGAACAGCAGGCAGCAGCAGCAGCAGCACCACGGGAGAGCTGCTGTCAGCAGGGGCCACTCGCGTGGAGCGACTGAGGGGGCTGCGTTTTACACCCCCGTTGAAGGGGCAACTGCGTTTTACGGCCCACCAACTGAGCATGCGGCCTTCTTCGCCCCCCCTACTGACGGGGCTGCGTTTTACGCCCAAGCTGTAGGGCGCTCCCAGTCCCACAGGCACGCTGCAAGCCCCTCCCACTCGTATTACAGGCAGGCTGTAAGTCACGGTCGCAGCCTGAGCCACGGCCCTGGGGGGTGGGCTGTCACTGACCCTCACTTTGCTGCTGCTGATCAAGCTGGGACGGAGAGCGGTTTGGAGGTGTGGCGTGCGGTCATGCAGGGGTATGGGGAAGGGGGTGTGGGCGCAGTGGGGATGGGGTATGGGGAGCAGGGTACACGGACAGGGATGCAGTATGGGGAGGGGGGTGGGGGAGCAGCGGGAATGGGGTATGGGGAGGGGGATAATGTGGGGGAAGCAGGGATTGAGTATGGGCTGGGAGGCAGTGAACAATCAGGAGCAGTGATAGCCTGTGGGCCGTGGCAGGAAGGGGGAGAGGGGGTTGTGGGGGGGAGTCAGAGGCTGGTGGTGGCGAGTGGGAGTGAGAGGGACGGCGATAGGAGCAGTGTGGGGGACAGGAGCAGTGTGGGGGATGGGAGCAGTGTGAGTGTGGGGGATAGCCTGGTGTCGCTTCTGAGAATTCTGAAAAACGAGGGGGAGGGCGATGGGAGCAGTGTGGCGGATAGTCTAGCAAGCAGCATGGATGGTGGTGGTGGTGGGGGCATGCCGGGTATGGCCGATGGGAGGTCTGGTATGGGTGATGGGAGAATGAGTGTGGGTGATGGGAGAATGAGCGTGGGTGATGGGAGAATGATTGTGGGTGATGGGAGAATGAGTGTGGGTGATGGGCGTTCAGGGATAGCCGATGCGAGGTTTGCGCATGCTCTCAGTCAGTCATTGGCACGGGCGGCTATGGGGAATCTAGAGTCAAATCAGAAGCCACTGCAACCACAGTTACAGTCACAGTCACAGTTACAGTCACAGTCATGGTCTCATCAGTCTGTGGCAGCGGCTGTGGCTCGTGATGCTCTGGGAATGAGCTTTGATGGGGATGTGCGAAACCTCTCTCAATCCCAATCTCATTCCCACTCCCACTCTCGATCTCAATCCCACACCCACGCCCACCCCCATGCTCACCCCCACCCCCATAACCACGACAATCACCACGCGTACAAGTATCAGAGGCATTCGTTGCCCCAGTCAGACACGGAGGGGGAGGAGGATGGAGAGGCAAGGCCGTGGCTTCGTGTTAAGACCCGTGCCTCTCAGACGAGCTCTTGGCATAGTGGGAAGTGGAGCAGGGAGCAGAGCGAGCAGCAGAGTGGACAGTGGGGTATGCAGCAGAACAAGCATCAGAGCAGGCAGCAAAGCAGGCAGCAGAGCATGGCTAGCATTAGCAGCCGGCATTCCAATGGGATGGAGAGTGTCCTCTGGGCCCCCACCACTGCAACCAGTTTCAGTGGCGCTGCTTCTGCTGGCGCTGGTACTGTTAGTGATATCACTCGTGGTGGTGGTGTTGCTGCTGCTGGTGCAGCGGGGAGGAGAAGGAGAGGTTTTTCCCTGGGGTCAGGCTCAGAAGTCTCGTCCCTCCGAAGCAGATCCCGAGGGAGGGGCGGGTCTCTTAGTGATGTGACTAGCCTGGGGATGAGTGAGGGGGAGGGAGCGAGTGAGGGAGTGAGTGAGGGAGTGAGTGAGGGAGAGAGCACCCGGTCTGTGGAGGCGGAATTGGGAGACCTGATGGACGCTCTAGATGGTGAGCTGTCACCGTTCTGGACCGCTCATAACAGTGTGGGGAGCTTGGGGAGTGTTGGGGTAGGGAGGACTGGCAGCATTGGAAGCATTGGGCTGGGCAGGACTGGGAGCTTTGGGAGTGTTGGGAGCGCAGGGAGGATGTTGAGGGGGAGTATGGGGAGTTTTAGGTCGGTGAGGGAGGAGCGGGAGGCAGGAAGGGGAGGAGAGGAGGGTGAGGAAGAGAGGGAAGCGAGGATGGATGTGTGGAGAGAGGTGATGGGGAATTACTGGGAGATGAGAGGGGCGGGCGCGTTCGGGTATAGACATGCCGACAGACATGCAGAGAGACGTGAGGATACACACGAGGACAGGGATGAGGATATAGATGAGGAGGGTATAAATATGAATGGCAAGGTGGATGCGTATAAGGGGGGAGAGGGCCGGATGGGTGGTGCGTCACAAGACTCACAGATGCTATTGTATGACAATTTGGGAGAGAGTGTGAGTGGCAAGGTTGGGGAAGAGTATGAGGAACAGGAAGAAGAGGAGGGCGGTTTGGAGGTTGAGGATAGGGAGGACGGGCATGAGGAAGAGGAGGAGGAGGAGAACGAAGAGGAGGATGGGAGGGTGGTTGTGGTGTTCAAAACTGCAACCCGAGCTGCTGAGATCCACGTGGAGGAGAGTGATAGGGGCAGTGCGGATCACTCTGCTGACGTGGCGAGTGATTTGAGTGAGCACGCGCTGTACAATGCTGAAGATGATGTGGCAGGTGCTGGTATTGTGACACGTGGGCGTAGCACACAGGAGGAGAGTGGAGAGTGGGATGTGCCAAGGGATTTGGAGCAGGAGAGGGGGACTGTCGGGGGAGTGGAGGATGAGGGTGAGAGGGTCAAGGTGAGTGGAAAAGCAGGAGCAGACAGTGATAATATTGGTGGTGGGGATGATGGTGCGGTGGCACCTGATGTCTTATCTGATGGGGTACACGATAGTGAAGAGAATGATGATTCGGGGGACATCCATGGTAGTGTGTATGAGGATCAAGAAACGGAGGAGGAAGGGGTAGAAGATGAGGAGGAGGAGGAGGAAGAGGAGGAGGATGAGAGGGTGGTAGTGGTGTTTAAGACAGCAACCAAGGGGAAAACGGATGAGGAGGAAGAGGAGGTGGTGGGAGAGTCCACGACTGAGAATGGGTCACTGACTGAGGGCCCTCTGGATACGGATACTGAGGATGTTGATAACGAGTATGAGGACAACGAGAGGGTGGTTGTGGTGTTTAACCGGCCGAGAACTGGTGAGAGGAGGGACCAGGGGGAGGATGAGAGGGAGGATGAAGATGATGGGGAGGATGAAGATGACGTGTTGCTAGGCAGTGTGGTTGGGGATGCGATTCTGACAGGAAGTCAAATGGCCAGCCAGACAAGCAGTTATGCTGGTGAGGAGGAGGGTTGGGAGGCAGGAGAAGAGGAAGAGTTGATTGCTGGTGATAATAGTGAAGAAGGGAGTTTGGAGGATGGGGAGAGGGTGGTGGTTGTGTTTAAGAAGGCAACACATGCTGAGAAGGAGGAGGAAGTAGAAGATGAGGAGGAGGTGGAGGAGGAGGAGGTAGAGGAGGAGGTTGGAGGTATTAGCGAGGAGGGGAGTCTGGAGGATGGGGAAAGAGTGGTGGTCGTGTTTAAGAAGGCAACACATGCTGAGGAGGAGAAGGAAGAGGAGTTAGAGGAGGAGGAGGAGGTAGAGGAGGAGGAGGAGGAGGAGGAGGAGGAGGAAGTAGAGGAGGAGGTTGCAGGTATTAGCGAGGAGGGGAGTTTGGAGGATGGGGAGAGAGTGGTAGTGGTGTTCAAGAAAGCAACACATGCTGCGAAGGACGAGGAGGAGGAGGATGATGAAGAGGAGGTGGGAGAGGGACGGAGGGTGGAAGAGGAAATGAGTGAGGAGGGAGGAGAGGGACTGAGGGAGGAGGCAAGGAAGCATGAAGACGGGCATGAGGAGGAGGAAGAGGGGGAGGAAAAGGAGGAAGAGGAGGAGCAGGAGGAGGAAGGCTATGGGGAGGAGGAGGATGAGGAGGATGGGGAGAAGAGGAAGGAGATTGAGCGATGGATAGAGGTGGCAGAGATGGAAATGGCACAGACGAGCCCGCAGGGGGGAGTTAGCAGCAGGCGTAGTGGCAGCGGGGTGAGCAGTATTGACCTGAGCTTCAGTGTTGACTTGAGCAGAAGCAGGAGCAGGAGCAGGAGTCGGAGCGATAGTGGGAGTAGGAGCGAAAGTGGGAGCAGTGGCAGTGGAAGTGGGAGCGAGGGGAGTGAGAGTGGAACAGAGGCGAGTGGGAGTGAGAGAGAGAGGGTGAGGAGGGAGAGGAGTGAGGCGAGTGAGGAGGGGTCACAGGGAGAAAGCCTTGGGAGCAGCATCAGCAGTGGCAAACGCAGAGATAGGAGACACTTGAGCCATAGCAGAAGCAGAAGCAGTAACAGAAGCAGAAGCAGTAGCAGACACAGCAGCAGACACAGCAGGAACAGCAGTAGGCATAGCAGCAGACACAGCAGTAGACATAGCAGTAGGAGCAGGAGCGCGAGGAGGAGTCACAGCAGTGGTCCAAGCAGTAGGAGCAGAGATGAGAGTGTGGCGAGGGGGAGTGTGGATGAGAGTGTGAGTGAGGGACTGAGCTTGGAAGGGAGTGAGAGGAGAGTTGGGAGTGGGAGTGTGAGTGGGGGTGGAAGCAAGCGGTCGGGGAGGAGTAGTGTGAGTGAGCGACAGAGTGACCATTTGGTTGAGAGAAAGGTGGAGACAGCGAGTGTTGGTGCGAGTGAGAAAGCGAGTGAGGAAGGTAGTGAAGGTGAGAGAGGGAGCTTGAGCAAGAGTGATAGTGGCAGTTGGAGTGAAACGAGGAGCAAGCACAGTGCCACCGGCACTGCTACCGAAAGTGCTACGAGCAGTGTTACTGGCAGTGTCAAAAGCAGCGCTGCTGACAGTGCTGCATGTGGTAGGAGTCAGAGTGGGAGTGAACGAGCGAGCGAGAAAGCCAACAGCATGAGGAGCAGTTCTGATAGCAGTGGTGAGAGAGAGAGGAGTGACAGTGAGCGTGAGAGAGTGGTGGAGGAGACTTTGAGTGAGCATGAGAGTGTGCATGAGAGTGTGGGGAGGAGTGTGAGTGATCATGAGAGTGAGCATGTTAGTGAGCGTGAGAGTGAAATGCATAGTAAGGGCGAGAGTGATGGGGAAAGTGTGACCCTTAGTGAAAACGAGGGGAGTGGAAAAGATAGTGTGAGTGGAAGTCACAGCGAAGGCAGTAGTGCGAAGGATGACACTGAGAGTGTAGCGAGTGAGGGTGTGAGTGAGACAGTGAGTGAGGGAGTGAGTGAGGGGATGAGTGAGGGAGGGAGTGAGAGTCCGAAAAGCAGCAGAAGCCATAGCAAATACAGCAGCACGAGTTCCAAACATAGCAGTGCAGTGAGTGTAAGCAGTAGCGTGCACAGCCAACACAGCAGCATTGACAGTCAGCGCAGCAGCTCGCACAGTCAGCGCAGCAGCTCGCACAGTCAGCGCAGCAGCTCGCACAGTCAGCGCAGCAGCTCGCACAGTCAGCGCAGCAGCTCGCACAGTCAGCGTAGCAGCTCGCACAGTCAGCGCAGCAGCTCGCACAGTCAGCACAGCAGCACACACAGCAGGAGTGCAAGCAGCCATGCTCGCAGCAGTAGCAGCAAAAGCGATGCGTTCAGTGCTGCAAAGAGCGAGGAGACATCTGCTAGTGAGCGTTCTGAGACGACCCAGGACTCGCTCAGTGGAGCGAGTGGGGATGCTTCAGCCGCTGTGGGCAGAGTTGGTAGCACAACAGGCAGTTTGAGTGGCAGCAAGAGCAAGCACAGCAGGGGCAGTAGTGTAAGCAGGGGGAGCAGTGTAAGCAAGGGGAGCAGTGTCAGCAAGAAAAGCAAGGGAAGGAGCAGGGAGAGCAGTGTCAGCAAGAAAAGCAAGGGAAGGAGCAGGGAGAGCAGTGTTAGCAAGGAAAGTAGGAGGAGCAGTGTCAGCAGCCCTAGGTCGGATGGGGACAGCTATGACGGTGGTTCGGGGAGTGGTGCGAGTGACAGGGAGGAAGAGAGGATGAGTGGGGAAATGGAAGAGAGTGGGGTAGTGGAGAAGAGTTGGGTAGTGGAAGAGAGTGGAGTAGTGGAAAGTGGTGCAATGGAGAGCTGGAGTGGGGTGGAGGGGTTAAGTGACGAGGAGCAAGGGAGCGAGGTCCAAGAGGCTCAAGCACACGGGAGTGAGGAGCGAGGGGTGGAAGGGCAGGAGAGTGAGGAGCGAGAGGCTGGAGAGCAGGAGCGTGAGGAAGATGGTGTGGATGTGTGGAGCAGTGAGAGTGACGCATGGCCTGAGGCAGAGGGAGAGGCGAGAGAAGAAGGGGAAGGAATAGTGCCAGCACCAGAAGCTGTGAGTGGGGATGGTGCAAGGGGTGTTGTGGAGAGTGATGAGGAGGAAGATGGGACAAGCTGGGTTACCAGCATCGTATCTCCTCTGCAGCAGGAGAAGGTGGCCCCTGGACACGTGGTGGATGCTGATTGGACGGAGGAGCTGGGGGAGGAGCAGCAGGTGGTGCAGGTGCCAGGAGCAGAGGGTCAGGTGGATGGTCAGGTGAATGATCAGGTTGGTCAACAAGCAGGTGAGCTACAGCAGCAGCACCAGGATGAAAGGGAGGTAGCAGCAGCAGCAGCGGCGGCAGCAGCAGCGGCAGGCAGAGCGGTTGCTGAGAACGGGGCAGGGGTGGGCAAGGATGGAATGTCACGTTCAATAGAAGGCGATGGGATGATAAGGCAGACTGGCGAGGATGGGGTGATGAGGCAGATTGGCGAGGATGCGTATGTGTACGAGATGGGGGATGGTGTGCGAGGAAAGAGCAAGGATGAATCGGCACGTTCAGCAACAGGCGAGGACGGGGTTATTCGGCAGATTGGCGAGGATGCGTATGTTTATGAGATGGGGGATGATGTGGGAGCATGTGAGGAGCTGGATTGGAGCAGGGATGTGGGCGATGGGGGGGTGGGAATGCCGGGGTGGTCGGGTGATTGGACGAGGGAGAGTGAGGTGTGGAATGTGGGTGGAATGAGGGATGAGACTGAGGTGCTGGGGGCGAGTGGTGTGATAGCAGGTGGTGCTGCCAGTGTTGCTGCCAGTGGCGCTGCCAGTGTTGCTGCCAGCGGTGCTGTCAGTGGCGCTGTCAAGTTGGACGGACAGAACGAGGAGGAGAGAGAGGAGAGAGAGGAGAGAGAGGAGAGTGAGGAGAGAGAGGAGAGAGAGCAGAGCGAGGACAAGAGAGAGGAGATTGGTGAGGAGAGAGAGGAGATAGCGGATGAGAGAGTGGAGAGAGGGGACGAGAGAGAGGGGAGCGAAGAGAGAGAGGAGAAGGGGCTGAGAGAGGAGAGAGATGACGAGAAAGAGAAGGGGGCAGAGGTCAAGGAAGAGGAGGATGTGGGGAGGGAGGACGAGGAGGTGAGTGAGGAGGAGGTGGAGAGGGAGGAGGAGGTGGAGAGGGAGGAGGAGGAGGAAGGGGCGAGGGAGGAGGAGGTGGAGGAGGAGGAGAGGGAGGAGCAGGTGAGGGATGAGGAGAGGGAGGAGGTGGAGGTAGAGAGGGAGGGGGAGGAGGAGGTAGAGAGGGAGGAGGAGCTGGAGAGGGAGGAGGAGGAGGAGGAGGAGGAGGAGGAGGAGGAGGAGGAGGAGGAGGAGGAGGAGGAGGAGGAGGAGGAGGAGGAGGAGGAGGAGGAGGAGGAGGAGGAGGAGGAGGAGGAGGTAGGGAGAGAGGGAGAGGACGAAGGGGAGGAGGAGTGGAGTGACATGAGCGAGGAGGAGTGGAGCAGCATGGAGCTAGCGGCCACCCAGTCCCCCTTCCCCGCCGCCTCCCCTCTCCCCTCCGCCAGCCCCTACGCTGCTCTCTCCCCACTGCCCTCCGCCACCCCAACGAGTGCAGGCATGGGTGCGCCTCTGGATAGTGTTGCGGTTAGCCTGGCGCTGCAGCAGCAGCAACAGCAGCAGCAGGAGCAGCAGCAGGAGCAACAGGGGCAGCAGGAGGAGCAGGAGGGGCAGGAAGCAGAGGGCCTGGCAATCAAAGAGGCGGAGGAGGAAGACGAGAAGGAGGATGGGGAAAGGGATGAGGGGCTTGAAGGGCTTCAAGGGCAGAGCAGCGCCTTCGCGTTTGCCTCGGGCAGTGATTCCTCTGTGCTGCCCCTTGCCAGTCCTATGGCGCTGCCTCAAGATCGAGCTGCTGTTGGTGGGGGTTCATGGGCGGAAGAGACTCAGCAAAATCGAATCTTTGGAAGCTCACTTGGTGGTGCCGTTCCTGTGTCTCAACGCACTCCTGCTCTTACCACCTCTGCTGCTGTGCCGCGCTCCGTTGCTGCTGCCGATCTTGCTGACGTGGCGAATGCGCATCATGCTGACGTGGCACGTGCTGGGTCGGGTGCTCCACGTCAATGTGAGATCCCTGTTTTGGAGGCACGTTCGATTCCAGCTGGCAGCTCACCTGATATGGCACTGGATAGAGCACCTGATTCGGCACCAGATAGGGTACCTGACAAAGCACTTGAAATGGCACCTGAAACTACTCCCGATGTGGCACCTGATTCGGCACCTGAGAAAAGATCTGCCTCTGTTGAGGTGCTTCCTTCAGGTGCTGTCTCTGTTGTGTTGCCTTCAGGTGCTGTTTCAGTTGTGCTACCTTCAGGTGCTGTGTCTGTTATGCTGCCGTCAGGTTCTGTCACTGTTGCACTGCCGTCAGGTGCCGTCTCTGTTGGTTCAGGTGCTAGCCCTGATCCGCGTGCTGCAAATTCTCCTGAGACTGCGGAAGCGAGAATGGATCAAAGTGAGTGGGAAGATCTTAGGGGGACAGAGGTGGAGGAGGGGTCAGAAGGAAAGGGGAGTGAGAGTGATGAGGAGGGGAAGAGTGATGGGAAGGAAGAGAAAGCAAGTGAGGACGAGAGTGAGGGAGAGGGTGAGAAGTGGGAGGAATCTGAGGAGTGGAGTGATGTTGGTGATGCAGTAACCAGTGAAGCCGGTGATGTGGTCACCGGCGATGCTGGCGATGCTGTAACCAGTGATGCTGGTGATGCAGTAACCAGCGATGCTGGTGATTCAGTAACCAGTGAGGCTGGTGTTTTGGTTACCGAAGTTGGTGGTTTGAGCGTGAGTAGCACAGAAAGGACGGCTGAGGAGGCAGTAAATTGGGCAGAAGAGAGTGAGATGATGGCAGACAAAGATGGTGGGGAGGGAGTAGTGAGTGAGGACTGGAGTGAGAGGGAAGAGAGCGAGGAGGAAGGGTTTGAAAAAGAAAAGAGTGAGGAGGGAGGGAGTCATATGGAAGGGAGTGAAAGCGAAGGGAGTGAGAAGGAAGAGAGTGAGAAGGAAGGGAGTGGGAAGGAAGGGAATGAAGAGGGTGAAACCAGAGAGGAGGATGCAAGAGCATCAGAGGAAGCGCAATCTATGGCCCTTGGCAACGCAGCCGGCAGAGTGCAAGAGCAAGGCGCTGTAGAAATTTCTGAGGCGCCTCAGAAGTCTATAGGCCTTGATGATGCAGATGGCAGAGTGCAAGCACAAGGAGCGGTAGCAGCAGAGGAAGAGGGTTCGATAAGGCCTCTGGCAACGCTCATGGCCCAGAGGTCATGGCCGGCAGTCGCTGCTCTGGCCGTGGGAGGAGGTGTGGTGGCAGCAGCACAGGCTGATGGGCTGGTGGCAGGAGGTGAATGGGAGAGCGAGGAGTGGAGTGATGTGGGGTCCGGTGTAGGTGAGTGGGAGGAGGAGGTTGTGGGATCTGGAAGAGTGGAGGGAGAGAGTCAGGGAGAGAGTGAGGGAGAGGGTGAGGGAGGGAGTGAGGGGGTTGGTGAGGTGGATGGAGAGAGTGAGGGTGAGGTGCGGGATGGAGAGAAGCAGGAGGATGAAGTTAGCAAGGGAGAGGAGATTAGAATGGAGGATGGAGATGGAAGGAGTGAGGAGGCTGAAGAGGGGGGAGAGGAGGTGGGAGAGGATAAGGAGAGAGAGGATAAGGAGAGAGAGGATAAGGAGAGAGAGGATAAGGAGAGAGAGGAGAAAGAGGGTCTGCAAGGAAGCAGCGCAGACATGGCAGGAGAAGTAAATCTGCCAGCTGATGAGAGTGAGAGGCATGTGGGTAGGAAGGAGGAGCAGGAGGAGGAGGAGGAGAAGGAACGGGATGAGAGGGAAGTGGATGGGGAGAGGGAGCGGCAGGGACAAGAGGAAGTGGAGGCTTCACACAGAGAGGAACTGGAGGGTGTTGCTGAAGGAGGGAGGGTGGAGGAGGGAGAGGAAGGGAGAGTGGAGGAGAAAGTGGAGGAAAAAGGGGTAACGGAAGGGAGGGTGGGGGGTGAGGGCAGAGATGCACATGCAGAAGGGAGTGAAGCAGAGGATGGGAGTGAGAGTAGAAGTGAGTGCATGAGTGGAAGGGAGAGTGATAACATGAGTGAGAGAGAGAGTGAAAGCGAAGGTGAGAAGGAGAGTAAGAGCATGAGCGAGAGGGAGAGTGACAGCATGAGTGAGAGGGAGAGTGATAGCATAAGTGAGAGGGAGAGTGATAGCATGAGTGAGAGGGCGAGTGAAGGTAAGAGGGAGACAGAGAGTGACAGTCTGAGTGATAGGGAGAGTGAAAGCGTGAGTGAGAGGGGGAGTGAAGGTGAAAGGGACAGGGTGAGTGAAAGTATGAGTGGGAGTAGAAGCGAGAACGGGGCTGAGAGTGAGAGTGGAAGTGAGAGGGATGCTGGAAGTGAGAGTGAAAGTGAGAGGGATGCTGGAAGTGAGAGTGGAAGTGAGAGGGATGCTGGAAGTGAGAGTGAAAGTGAGAGGGATGCTGGAAGTGAGAGTGAAAGTGAGGGGGGAGCTGAGAGTGAGAGTGCAAGTGAGAAGGGATCTGAGAGTGAAAATGAAAGTAAGAAGGGATCTGAGAGTGAGAGTGGAGGTGAGAGGGGGGCAGAGGGCACTGGCGCTGTAGCAGGGGGCACTGCCATTGCAGGAGGTGTGGCCTTTGAGTCGACTGAAGAAGAGATCGCAGAAGGCGCAGCAGCTGGCACAGCAGAGGCAGAGGCAGAGGCAGAGGCAGAGGCATGGGCAGAGGCCACCACGACAGGCAGTGCAGTGCCGGACGAGCCTTTCGTGTCCAGCGCCCTCCTTGCCACACATTCAATCCCTGTCTCCACCACTGTCGCAACCATTCCTTCTGCTCCTAGTGTTTCCACTGCCCCTACTGCTCCCTCAGTTTCCTCCCGCGCTGCCAACTCTTGGATCCGCCCTGCACAGCCTTCTTCCCACTCCGACTCAGGCTCGGACTCTGACTGGTCCGACTCCGAACCTGCGCCCAAGCCTGTGCCCATCCGAGCCTGGAGGGCAGGCATGGCGAGCGCAGCACTGGCTCCTGCGCCTGCCGCCTCTCCTCCCCCACAAACTGCAGCGGTGGGGCGACTGCAGAGTGACTTCCTGAACCGCTTCCAGCAGCAGCAGCCGGAGGAGCAGCAACAGCAGCAGGCCTCTGAGGCTCCCCTCACACCTCCACAGCAGCAACAGCAGGCATCTTTGAATTCCGCTGCAGTTGTGGACTCTTCTGCTGATGTGGCGCAGGCTGCTGATGTGGCGCAAGTTGCTGATGTGGTGCAACCTGTGGACATGAAGCACGCAGCTGAGGTCAAAGCAGGTGACAAGTCAGAATTACCTGCTGGTGGTGATGATGTGATTGCTGATAAGGAACAGTCTGCACATGTGGTATCAGCTCCTGACGTGGCACCCCCTGCTGATGTGGACGTGGAGGGCGATTCCAGACCATCTTCTCCAGAGGGGTCAGCCACCAGCATCAAAGATGCTGCTGATGTGGCAGCTGAGTTGGATGCTGATGTGGCAGCTGAGGTGGCTCTGGATGCAGCTGGAGGTGCTAGTTTGCTGCTGGCAAGTGAGTTGGTTGCACCTGTGCTGCAGACGAGAGGAGAGGCCGAGGAGGTGGAAGCAGAACAGGAGAAAGCAGATGTATTTTCGGGACCAGATTCTGAACCTGACTCTGATTCTGAACCTGACTCTGATTCTGACGTGGCTGCTGATGTGCCTGTTGACATGGCTGCTGATGTGTCTGTTGACATGGCTGCTGATGTGTCTGTTGGCGTGGTGGCTGATGTGGCTGCTGACATGGCTCTGCGAGTGCCTGGAGGTGAAACTGCAGTGGTGCCATCTCCATCACGATCAGACTCCGAGTCTGACTCTTCTTTCGGAACTGATGTGGCTGCTGACGTGGCCGCTGATGTGGCTGCTGACGTGGCCGCTGATGTGGCTGCTGACGTGTCGTCTGATGTGGCACCGTGTGCGGCTGGAGGTGAGACTGCAGCACTGCCATCCCCATCTGGACCACACTCTGAGGTTGACTCTGCACCAGAAGCTGATGTGGCTGCTGACGTGGCTCTGCATGTGTCTGACTGTGAAGCTTCAGCTCTGCCATCGCCACCAGGATCAAACTCTGACGTTGACTCTGCACCGGAACAAGAGAGGGTGGAGGAAGAGACAAGGAGTGAGGATGCTGAGAGGGAGGAGGAAGAGACAAGGAGTGTGGAGGCTGAGAGGGAGGAAGAAGAGACAAGGAGTGTGGAAGCAGAGTGGGAGGAGGAAGAGACAAGGAGTGAGAAAGCAGAGAGGGAGGAGGAAGAGACAAGGAGTGAGGATGTAGAGAAAGAGGAGGAAGAGAGGGGGAGTGAGAAAGCAGAGAGTGCGGAGGAAGATGGGGGTAGTGATGATAAAGCAAGGCTGCAGGAGGTTGAAGTAGAGGTTATAGCGATGGGTGGGGCGGCAGTTGTGGCTGTCGCGGTGCTTGCAGGGGTGGATGGGGCGGCAGCGGACGAGGAGGGTGAGGGGATGCTGGGAGCAGTGGAGGGCAGGGAGCCGTTGGGGGCGGAGGAGGGAGAGGAGAGTGAGGAGGGTAAGGAGAGTGAAGAAGCTGGGGAGAGTGAGGAGAGTGAGGAAGCTAAAGAGGTGAAGGAGGCTAAGGAGGAGCATGAGGAGGCCGAGTCACATTCTGATGATGCTGAGTCACGCTCTTATGATGCTGAGTCACATTCGGATGCTGAGTCACGCTCTGATGCTGAGTCACGCTCTGATGCTGAGTCACGTTCTGATGCTGAGTCACGTTCTGATGCTGAGTCACGTTCTGATGCTGAGTCACGTTCTGATGCTGAATCACATTCTGATGCTGAGTCACGTTCTGATGCTGAGTCATGTTCTGATGCTGAATCACATTCTGATGCTGAGTCGCATGCTGAGTCACTTTCGGACGCAGCTTCTGCAGTCGCTGTACCTCAGTCTCCTGCGGCACCTCATTTGCCAGCTGGGGATGAAGCAGCTGCTCCTCTCAGTGCTACCTCCTCTCCTACCTCTGCCACCCAGTCGGGCTCACCTGCTGTGCCTGAAGCTGCTGCTGCTCCTGATCTGCCTGCTCTGCCTGATTCTCCTGCTGCATCTGAGGCGCCTGCTGTGGAAGATTCTCCTGCTGCACCAGAATCACATGCCATACCTCATTCACTTGCCGTGCTTGATTCACCTGCGGGGGGGGATGAGCCACCTGATTCTCTCAGCTCTGCCTCCTCTCCTGCCGCTGACACCCATTCGGTGGTTCTAAATGAGAGAGAGAAGGAGGAGAGCGGGGTGACACCTGCTATATTAGATTCGTCTGCAATGCCTGATTTCCCTGCTTTACCTTACACACCTGATTCACCTGCTGCACCTGATTCGCCTGCCGCACCTGATTCACCTGCTGCACCTGATTCACCTGCTGCACCTGATTCGCCTGCCGCACCTGATTCACCTGCCGCACCTGATTCACCTGCCGCACCTGATTCACCTGCTGCACCTGATTCACCTGCCACACCTATTTCGCCTGCCGGAGCTGAACCAGCTGCTCCTTTCAGCCCTGCCTCTCCGGCTGCGTCTGACTCCGAGTTGGTGGCTCAAGTTGAGAGCGAGGAGGAGGAGAGGGTAGTGGTGCCTGCTGTTTCTGCTTCTCCTGCTATATCTGATTCTCCTGGCGCTGATTCACGTGCAGCATCTGAAACACGAACACCTGCTGTACCTGATTCACCTGCTGCTGCACCTGATTCACCTGACTCACCTGATTCATCTGCTGCATTTGAAACACCTGCTGTACCTGATTCACCTGCCACAGCTGAGGAAAGTCAAAGGGAGGAGGAGAAAGGTGAAAGGGAGGAGGAGGAAAGTGAAAGAAAGGAGTTGGAAAGTGAAAGGGAGGAGGTGGGAAGTGAAAAGGAGGAGGTGGAAAGTGAAAGGGAGGAAGTGGAAGAGGAGGAAGGAAAGTGGGAAGAGGAAAAAGAGGAGGAGAGAGGAGACGAGGCAAGGGGAAAGGTGGAGAGAAATGAAGAGGAAGCAGAGACGATGCAAGAGGAGGAGAGGGGAGAGGAGGAAAGAGAAGAAGACGGAGAGGAGAAGGTAGAAGAGGAAGAGAGCAGAGTGGAGGTGATAGAGGAGAAGGTGAAGAGAGACGGTGTGTCAGGGGCAGAGGAAAAGACGGAAAAAACTGGAGACCTTGAGAGAGAGAGCATGAACCGAGAGGGTGAGGAGGGAGAGAGTGTAGTGGGAGAGAGTGTGGAGGGAGAGAGTGTGGAGGGAGAGAGTGTGGCGCGAGAGGGCGCAAAGGGGGAGGATAATGTGGCAGTGCCGGCAGGTGATGCAAGCGTGAGTGGCCAGAGCACATCAGAGGCTGCTTCGAAGAGAATTGAAGTGTCAGAGCCTGCGCCTGTGGCAGCAGTAGAAGCTGAATGGGCAGACATGGGAGGATCAGCAGCGGTGGAAGGCGAAGCAGCGGTGGCGGGAGAAGAAGCAGTGGAAGGGTCAGCAGCGTTGGAAGGAGAATCAGTAGAAGGAGCAGCAGCAGCACTGGTGGCTGAAGCACCAGGAGCAAGGGAGGACGGGCAAGCAGCAGAAGATGAGACAACACCCCCCTTGGTGGAGCAGACGCAAGCAGCAGCAATGGCAGCAGGAGCTCCATTCGTTGACACCGTTCACCCTCTTCCCACCCACTCCTCGTCCCTTGCTGTTCCCTCTCCTCCCTCTCCCCTCCCTGCGCCCTCTGTTCCCTCTGTCCCCTCTCCTCCATCTGTTTCCTGCCGCCCTGCCAACTCATGGATCCACCCAGCACAGCCTTCTTCCCACTCCGGCTCTGATTCCGAATCTGACTGGTCCGACTCCGAACCTGCGCCCAAGCCTGTTCCCATCCGAGCCTGGAGGGCAGGTATGGCGAGTGCAGCAGCAGAAGCACCGTCTCCTGTGCCGGCTCCCGCTCCTGTTGTTCAAACTGCAGCAGTGGGGCGACTGCGAAGTGACTTCCTCAACCGCTTCCAGCAGCAGCAGCAATCTGAGCAGCCCTCTTTGCCTCCTCTTGGGTCTCCACAGCAGCAGCAGCAGCAGCAGCAGCAGCGGCAGCAGCTGCAGCAGGTGGAGGGAGAGAAGGAGGGAGAGGAAGAGGAAGAGGGTACGGCGATAATGGAGGTGAAGGAAGGGGGTGTGTCAACAGGAGATGATGAAGCTGCAGTGGCAATGGCAGAGGGTGAGGAGGAGAGGGTGGTGAAGGAAGAGGGAGTGGAAACAACAGAGGAAGAAAGTGTGGAAAGGGGAGAGGAGGAGGGAGTAGAAGCAACAGAGGAGGAGGGAGTAGAAGCAACAGAGGAGGAGGGAGTGGAAGCAACAGAGGAGGAGGGAGTGGAAGCAACAGAGGAGGAGGGAGTGGAAGCAACAGAGGAGGAGGGAGTAGAAGCAACAGAGGAGGAGGGAGTGGAAGTGGGTGCGGTTGAACTTGAGAATGTGGGGAATAAGGATGCAAGAATGGACGAGGAAGAGAGGATGGAAGAGGGTAAGGAAGAGAGGATGGAAGAGGGTAAGGAAGAGAGGATGGAAGAGGGTAAGGTAGAGAGGATGGAAGAGGGTAAGGTAGAGAGGATGGAAGAGGGTAAGGTAGAGAGGATGGAAGAGGGTAAGGTAGAGAGGATGGAAGAGGGTAAGGTAGAGAGGATGGAAGAGGGTAAGCAAGTGAGTGAGAAAGAGTTTGAGGAAGAGAGGAAGGAAGAGAAGGAAGAGGAGGGTAAGGAAGAGAGGGTGGAAGAGGGTGAGGAGGAGACATTGGAAGATGGCGGTAAGGAGCGAGAAGAAGCGAGTAGGGAAGAGAGGATGGAAGAGGAAGAGAGAGTGGAAGAGGAAGAGAGGGTGGAAGAGGAAGAGAGAGTGGAAGAGAGTAAGGAGGAGAGGGAGGAAGTAGGTACGGAAGAGAGGGAGGACGAGGGTACCGAGAAGAGGGCGGAAGAGAGTAAGGAAGAAACAGAGGAAGAGGTGAAGGAAGAAAGAGAGGAGGAAGTGACGGGAGAGGCAGAGGAAGGGGTTAAGGAAGAAAGAGAAGTGGAAGTGAAGGGAGAGAGAGAGGAAGAGGCTATGGAGGAGACAAAGAGAAATGATGCCTTGGCTGTCCCTTCCCCACCCGCACTCTCATCCTCTCATCCTCCCACCACCATCTCTCCAGCTCAACATCCCACCACAGCCATAACCGTCAATCCACGTGCCTCACATTCATGGATGAAAAAGCAGCAGACCCACTCCTCCGATTCAGGCTCGGACTCTGACTGGTCCGACTCCGAACCTGCGCCGAAGCCTGTGCCCATCCGAGCCTGGAGGCCAGGTGCGGGGAGTGGTGTAGCGTCAGTGGCAGCTGCGCCTGCCGCGTTTCCTGCTGCCCAGCCAGCAGTGGTGGGGCGACTGCGAAGTGACTTCCTCAACCGCTTCCAGCAGCAGCAGCAACAGCAGCAGATGATGGAGGGAGAAGGGAAGAGAGAGGGAGAGGGTGCGACAATACTGGAGGTGAAGGACGAGGGTGTGTCAACAGCGGAAGATCATGAGGGAGAGGAAGTGATAGTGACAGAGAGTGAGGAGGACAGAGCGGTTAAGAAAGGAGATTCAACAATAATGGAGGTGATGGAAGTGGGTATGTCAGCGGAAGATCATGAGGGAGAGGAAGTGATAGTGACAGATGGTGAGGTGGAGAGAGCGGTTAAGGAAGAGGGAGTGGAAGCGAGAGAGGGAGAGGGAGTGGAAGCAACAGAGGAAGAGGGAGAGAAAGTGGGTGCGATCGAGGGTGTGGGGGGTAAGGAAGCAAGGATGGACGAGGAAGAGAGGGTGGAAGAGGGTAAGGAAGAGAGAGTGGAAGAGGGTAGGGTCGAGAGGGTGGAAGAGGGTAGGGACGAGAGATTGGAAGAGGATAAGGAAGAGAGAGTGGAAGAGGGTAGGGACGAGAGATTGGAAGAGGATAAGGAAGAGAGAGTGGAAGAGGGTAAGGAAGAGAGAGTGAAAGAGGGTAAGGAAGAGAGAGTGGAAGAGGGTAAGGAGGAGAGTACAGAAGAGGCTGGGTATGAGCGAGTGGAAGAGGATAGTGAGGTAGTGGCAGCGAGTAAGGAGGAGAGGATGGAAGAGATGCAGGAAGAGGCTAAGGAAGAAAAAGAGGAAGAGGGTAACGAAGAGACCAAGGAAGAGGGTAAGGAAGAGATGAAGGAAGAAAGAGAGGAAGGTGGTAATGAAGAGACTAAGGAAGACAGTAAGGAAGAGGTGAAGGAAGGAGAGGAAGAGGCTAAGGAGGAAATCAAGGGAGATGGTATCTTGGTTGTCTCTTCCCCACCCCCACTCGCCTCCCCCCAGCCTCCCACCCTCCTGGCTTCACCTCGAATTCCCCCACCTGCCGTTACCATCAAGCCCCGCGCTGCAGACTCATGGATGCGGCGACCCAATCAGGCTGACTCTGACTCACCCTCGGACTCTGACTGGTCCGACTCCGAACCTGCGCCCAAGCCCGTGCCCATCCGAGCCTGGAGAGCAGGTGCGGCGAGTGGTGTGGCGGCAGTAGCACCTGCGCTTGCCGCCTCTCCTCCCTCACAAACTGGCCCCGTGGGACGACTGCGGAGTGACTTCCTCAACCGCTTCCAGCAGCAGCACCAGCAGCAGCAGCAGGAGCAGCAGCAGCAGGAGCAACCCTCGGTGCCACCCGTTAGGTCCCCACAGCAGCAGCAGCAGCAAGTTTCTGAGCCTCCGTCACAACCCCTGCACGTGCAGCAACAGCAAGAACAGCAGCAGCAACAGGAGCAGCAGCAACAGGAGCAGCAACAACAACAGCAGCACGTTCTTACTGATGCTCCTGCTCAACTTGTGACTGTTACAGGTGTGGTTGACTCTGATATTGCGGCTGATGCTTCTGCTGCAGCTGAGGATGAATACGTTCCTGAAAACTCTGGTGATTTGGCAGCAGAGCCAGGAGCAGCAGCAACAACAACAGGGGCAGAAACGGCACTGGCAGTTGTTGCTGGGGATGAGGTTGGAGAGGGAGAGGGGGCAGAGACGGTGCAAGAGGAAGAGGTGCAGTCAGGTGAATTTTCAGGTGGAGAGGTGTTACAAGGCGACCTGGTTCCGGCTGACGTGGCATCAGACCCATCCACTCCTGTGCCAGCTGACGTGGCATCAGGCCCATCCACTCCTGTGCCAGCTGACGTGGCATCAGGTCCATCCACTTCTGTACCAGCTGATATGGCAGCAGATGCACCGTCATTACCTGAACCATCTGTTCATCCAACAATCGTCTCCTCCTCTCAGCCACTTTCCTCCCCTCAGCCTTCTACTCCTCCTCACCGCACAGCACCTGCCGTTACCATCAAGCCTCGCGCTGCAGACTCATGGATGAAGCGACCCAATCAGGACTCTGACTCAGGCTCGGACTCTGATTGGTCCGATTCCGAACCTGCGCCCAAGCCCGTGCCCATCCGAGCCTGGAGGCCAGGCATGGCAAGCGCAGCGGCAGCAGCACCGACCCCTGCATCTGCCGCCTCTCCTACTGCAGCAGCACCGGCTCCTACTCAAACTGCATCAGTGGGGCGACTGCGGAGTGACTTCCTCAACCGCTTCCAGCAGCAGCCTGAGAAACTCCCTGTGCCTCCTTTCAGATCTCCACAGCAGCAGCATCAGCAGCTGTTGGCCGTGTCTCCTGGTGAGCAACCCTGCACTCCAGAGGTTGATGCTTCCGTTGGTGCTGCTGCTACAGCTGCTACAACTGGCATTGCAGCGGAAGCTGCTACTACACCTGCTAGTGCTGCTTCAGTTGTTGCTGCTGCTTCGGCTGCTACAGCTGGCAGTGCTGATTCAGCGAGTGCTGCCGCGACAACTGATAGTGCTTCCTCTGCTGCTGTGGTGGCTGGTGCAACTGCCGTTGCCGGTGCAACAGCTATGGCTGCTGCGGCCTTAGCTGCCACAGCACCTGCTGTCTCGGTGCCCGTGGAACAGGGAGAGGTAGAACAGGGAGAGGGCGTCATTAGCAAGGTAGAGGAGGAGGGGGGTGAGTTTGAAGGCAGAGGAGAGGGTGGGGGGAGCATGAGAGCAGAGGGTGTGGAATCTGCGGCTGCTGAAGGTCCGCTGGCTGATGCTGTGGAGGAGTTCTCTGCTGAGGTGGCATCAGAAACTCCTGCTGACGTGGCAGTGGAAGCAACGGCTGATGTGGCCACGGAAGCACCTGCTGAGGTGGCAGCGGAAGCACCTGTTGACGTGGCAGCGGAAGCACCTGCTGACGTGACAGCAGAAGCAGCTGCTGACGTGGCATCGGGTGCGGCTGCTGACGTGGCATCGGGAGCGGCTGCTGAAGTGGCATCGAAAGCACTTGCTGAGGTGGAGGAGCAGGAGAATGAGGCATGGGAGGAAGAGAAGGGGGAAGAGGGTGGAGAAGGAGGAGAGGAGGAAAACGAGGAGGATGAAAAAGAAGAGGAAGAAACGAAAGAAACAAAGGAGGAAGAATTGGAGAATGAGGAGGCGGAGGTAGAGGAGGAGGGTGCAGAAGCTGGGGAGGCTGCGGAGGGGGAGGAGGGTGCAGGGGAAGAGGAGGAAGGAGGGAGTGAGGCAGGAGAGGAATCCACTGAGGAGGTGACTGTAGAAGTGACAGAGGAATATGAGGAGGTGACTGTAGAGGAAACGGAGGAGTATGAAGAAGTGACAGTCGAAGTGACAGAGGAATATGAGGAAGTGACTGTAGAAGTGGAAGAAACGGGAGAATATGAGGAAGTGACTGTAGAAGTGGAAGAAACGGGAGAATATGAGGAGGTGACTGTAGAAGAAACGGCGGAATACGAGGAGGTAACTGTAGAGGTAACAGAAGAATACACTGAAGAGGAAGTTACTGTAGAAGTTACAGAGGAGTATACAGAAGAGGAGGTTACTGTAGAGGTTACAGAGGAAGTCACAGACGAGGATAAATCAGAGGAGGTGGCAGAGGAGGGAGCAGGTGCAGCAGGTGGAAAAGAAGGAGAAAGCGCAGAGGGACAAGATTCGGAAGGGGAGCAACAGGAGGAAGAGCAGGAGGAGGAACAGGAGGAGGAGCAGGAGGAGGACTATGAAGAGTATGAGGAGCAGGAAGAGGAAGAAGAGGAAGAGGAGGAGGAAGAGGAGGAGGAGGAGGCAAGTGAAAAAGAGAGCACAAACAGCAGCCCGAGGAGCAAGCCAGAGGAGAAGGAAGAGGAGGAGGACGAGGAAGCGAGGATAAAGCGGCAGGAGCAGGAGGAGAGGAACGCGGAGGAGCAGCGGGCGCTGCGGCTGCGTGTGGCGAGCATGAAGCGGTTCAATGCGGTGCTGGGGGAGCTCAGATTCCGCCAGGGCATCCGCGAGGAGGGGGAGGGGGAGGGCGGCACAGGGGGGGGGCGGAGGGGGAGGAGCAGGGGCGGGTGAGGGGAGCGGGACGGGCGCGTCTGGGACAGGAGGTGGAGGTGCTGTGGGGCAAGCGGGGGGAGCAGCAGCAGGAGTGGCTCCTATTGCGCTTCCGGCCATGGCAGGTGCTGCTGGTCGGCAGCAGCCCGATCCTCACAGTCCGGGCAAGGTGAGCTGCATGTTTCTGCGTACTCTATTCTGACCTCCTCGCTCTTACCACTTGTAGATAGCCTGAAGTCCCAACCCCCTCATTTTACCAATGTCGTGACAACCTTTCCCCTTTCTTCTCGCTCTTTTCCTCCACCCCTTCCACCCCCTTTGCAGCGATCGCGGATGCTGTCGCTGGTGGCGTCACAGGGCCTGCACGTGCCGGCCAGTGCAGTGACTCGCGAGATCATGGGGCTCACAGGGGGGAGTGCCGGCTGGGGGCGAGCCGCAGTATGGTATCCTGGGACATAATGCTCACTCACCCGTGTTGCTTCCCTTACCCCCCTTTCATTGCTTGCAGCGATCGCGTATGCTGTCGCTGGTGGCGTCACAGGGCCTTCACGTCCTGGCCAGTGCAATGACTCAGGAGATCATGGGGCTCACAGGGGGGAGTGCTGGTGTTGCGCGTACCTCTTAACCATCCCTTCCATCTCCCACTCTTTGTGTCTCTTCTCCCTCCTCCCCCCCTTGCAGCGTTCACGGATGCTCTCTCTGGTGGCGTCACAGGGCCTGCATGTGCCGGCCAGTGCAATGACTCGAGAGATCATGGGACTCACAGGAGGGAGTGCTGGTGCTGCTGATACCTGTTAACCATTTCTCCTCTCTCTCACTCTTCGCATCTTCCCTTCGAACTTGCAGCGTTCACGGATGCTCTCTCTGGTGGCGTCACAGGGCCTGCATGTGCCGGCCAGTGCAGTGACTCGAGAGATCATGGGACTCACAGGAGGGAGTGCTGGTGCTGCTGATACCTGTTAACCATTTCTCCTCTCTCTCACTCTTCGCATCTTCCCTTCGAACTTGCAGCGTTCACGGATGCTCTCTCTGGTGGCGTCACAGGGCCTGCATGTGCCGGCCAGTGCAGTGACTCGAGAGATCATGGGACTCACAGGAGGGAGTGCTGGTGCTGCTGATACCTGTTTACCATTTCTCCTCTCTCTCACTCTTCGCATCTTCCCTTCGAACTTGCAGCGATCGCGGATGCTCTCTCTGGTGGCGTCACAGGGCCTACACGTCTCGGCCAGTGCAGTGACTCGCGAGATCATGGGACTAACAGGGGGGTTGCTGGTGTTGCGCGTCCCTCTTAACCATCCCTTCCGTCTCCCACTCTCGGTGTCTCTTGTCCCTCCTCCCCCCCGTCACAGCGGTCACGCATGCTGTCGCTGGTGGCGTCACAGGGTCTGCATGTGCCGGCCAGTGCAGTGACTCGGGAGATCATGGGGCTCACAGGGGGGAGTGCTGGGCTGGGGAGTCGGAGCATGGTGGTTCGGGACAGCATGGGGCGTGCGGGAGGAGGTGGTTTTAACCTGGGGCTGAGTCGCAGTATGGTGAAGGAACGAAAGCAGCCTTCGTTGCTGGATAGTAGTGGTAGCGAGGAGGAAGAGGAGGAAGAGGAGGAGGAGGAAGAGGAGGAAGAGGAGGAAGAGGAGGAAGAGGAGGTGGAGGAGGAGGAGGAGGAAGAGGATGATAATGATGAGGAGGGTGAGGGTGGAGCAGAGGAAGGGGAGGGAGAAGAAGAGGAAGAGGAAGAAGAGGAGGGGGAGGAGGAAGAGTATGGAGAGGCGGCGGAGGAGGAGGAAGCAGGGGGAGAGGGAGGAGACGAGGGAGAGGAGGAGGAGGAGGAGGATGCACAGGAGGAAGTAGATGGAGTGGATCAAAAAGAGAATGAGGAAAGCGCGGAGGAGGAAGAGAAGGAGGAGAACGAGGAGAATGAGGAGCAGGAGGACTTAGAGCACGAAGATATGGAGGTTGGGGGCGAGGCGACTTGGAAGATGGAGGGAGCGGAGGAGGGTCCAGGTGAAGGGGAGTCAGCTGAGGAGGACGATGAGAGCAATGAGGAGGAAGAGGAGGAGGAGGTAGAGCAGGAGGACCTGGAGGAGAACGCAGCAGGACACACGGATATGGAGGTCAGGGGCGAGGAGTCTTGGGACATGGAGGCTGAGGAGGGCCCAGGTGAGGAGGAAGAGGAGAATGAGAAGGTAGAGCACGAGACAGAGCACACCGATATGGAGATCAGGGGCGATGAGTCTTGGGACTTGGAGGAGGCTGAGGATGCTCCCGCTGAGGATGCTCCAACCGAGGACACTCCAGCTGAGGAGAGCCCAGCTGAGGCAGGAGGAGGAGCGGATGAGGAAGCAGGCAGTGATTCTGCCAAAGACCCCCTGCTGCTGAATGTGTCTGAGGGTGAGGGGCGTGTGAAGGCCCTTGCTGCTGCTATGCTGTCGCCTACTGCTACTGCTGCTGATACCACCACTGCATCCCCTAAAGAGGCTGGTGGCGTTAGGTGTTGCTGGGGGGCGTGTGAAGGCTCTTGCTGTTGTGGTGGCGTCTGCTGCTGCTGATACCACCAGTGCACCCTCTAACAAGGCTGCGACTGTGGACGTTTCTGCTGGAGGGTGAAAGCACTGGCTGCTGTGGTGGCTTCATCTGCATCTGCTGACGCCACCAGTGCACCCTCTAAGGAACCGGCGACTCTGAATGTTGCAGAGGGGCGTGTGAAGGCTCTTGCTGCTGTGGTGGCGTCTGCAACTCCTGACACCACAGCTGCAGCCCCGAAAGAGGCAGCAACTATAAATGTTCCTGGCGGGCATGTGAAAGCTCTTGCTGCCGTGGTTGCGTCAACTGCTGCTCCTGCTGACGCCACCAGTGCATCCCCAAAGCGGCGGCGGCTGTAGATATCGCTGGCGGGCATGTGAAAGCTCTGGCTGCTGTGGTGGCGTCTGTGGGTGCTGCTGGTGCCACCAGTGCACCCTCTAACGAGTCAGCGGGTCTAGATGTTGCTGGTGGGCGTGTGAAGGCTCTTGCTGCCTTTGCGGCTGCTCCTGCTGCTGATGATACCACCAGTGCACCCTCTAAAGAGTCACCGGGTCTAGATATTGCTGGGGGGAGGGTGAAGGCGCTGGCTGCTGCGGTGGCATCCACTGCTGCTGCTGACGCCACCAGTGCACCCCCTAAAGAGGTGGTGGTGACTGGAGACGTTGCTGAGGGATGGGTGAAGGCTCTGCTCCCTCTGTGGCTGCTCTTGCTGCTGCTGATACCACCATTGCACCCCTTGAAGAGGCAGCGGCTCTAGATGTTGCAGAGGGGCGTGTGAAGGCCTCTTGCTGCTGTGGTGGCTTCTGTGGCAGCTGCTGACTCTGTTCAGTGCAACGCCTAAAGGTGTGGCGAATCCTGATTTTTGCAGAGGGGCGTTGTGAAGGCTCTTGCTGCTCGGGCTGCCTCTGCTGCTGCAAACAACAGTGCTGAAAGCACCGGCGGTGCTTCAAAGGACTTGGTCTCTCTGGAGGTTGGAGAGGGGCGGGTGAGAGAGCTCGCTGCTATGGCTGCCTCTGCTGCTGCCACAGCAGTGCAACCGCCAGTGCTGCTTCAAATGAACCCCTCTTCTGGATGTTGCTGGGGAGGAACTAGTGAGAAAGGCTCGCTGCTCTGGCTGCCTCTGCTGCTGCCAATAACAGTGCTGAAACTGCTGACAGTGCTCCAAAGGACTCCTCTCTGGACGCTGGTGAGGGCCGTGTGAAGGCCCTGGCTGCTCTTGCTTCCACTGGTGCTACCTCTGGTAACAATGTTAGTCAAGGCCAATCTAATAGCAATGGTGAACCCACCACGCTGTACGGCAATGACAAGAGCATCCAGCAGCAGCAGCAGCAGCACTACCCTGCTCCCTCCCCACGCCTCATCCACCGTCCCTACTCCCCGTCACCGCGCTCCATCCCTCACTCCCCATCCGCCCATCTCCCCTGCTACACTCGCTGCCCCTCCACCCATCTCGTGAGCCCCATTCGCCCCCGAAGAAGCTTCAGCCCTAGTAGGTTCCGGGCATTTGATGCTGCAGCAGTGGCAGCAGCAGCCTTGTCAGGAGTTTCCCCTCAGCGCCGCCGCTCCCCTTCGCCGAACCTCCCACGTTATTCCGCCTCTCCGGGGGCTTATCCTAGCGGCTTTCCCATCCGAACCTCGTCTGTGAGCCCGAGCCAGTCACCCATGGCCCGAGGCCTGCCTCCACGGCTGCCGCCGAGGTTCGGCAGCAGCGTGAGGTTTGGTGGGGGTGCGAGGGACCCGAGGTTTGGCGAGTTCCGTGATTCGTCGAGAGATTCAGATTTCCGCGAGGGGGCGGGGAGGAGAGGTGCTGGCATGGGGGAGGTAGGGGGAGGTGGAGCAGGAGGGGTTGGGGGTTTGGGGAGTGGGGGAGGGAGTGGGGGATACAGCAAATCTCGGTCGTTGGATCGACAGATAATGGTGGGATCACCAGGAGGGATGGTGGGAGGCGCGGGGGATGTGCTTATAACGAAGGGCAGTGGCGGCGGCATGGAGGGAGAAGGGCATGAGGGGGAAATGCTGGGGGATGATGCAGAAAACGAGGAGGAGAGAGAGGAGGAAGATGAAGGGGAGGATGAGGACGATGAGGAGGAGGGAGAGGAGGAGCGAGAGGAGAAGGGTCCACCTAGTGAGGGTATGCAGACACAAGGGCCAGCAGCTGCAACAGTGCCTTCAAGCGAGGCCAACGGGATTGCTGGCAGTGGCAAGACATGGAAAGACATTCTTCTCTCTGTGAAAGCAGCGTCTCAGCCCGGAAGAGCTGTTCCCGGTTCTAATGCAGGGAGACAAGAGGGTGTGGGTGTTTCTGCCCTGGCAGCTGTAGCGGCAGAGGTTGTAACGGGAATGGACGGAGGCAGGGAGGGAGGGGTGGGTGATGTGGCTGGGGTGTTGGGGAATGGAGCATTGGTGTTTGGTGCAGTTGATGTGGCGGGGGACAGCAGGGAAGTCGGTGGGGGCGATTGGAGAAATGCATGGGGAGGCGTGCCGGCAGGAGGGATGGAAGAGGGCGAGAAGCGTTGCAACTGGAGTAATGGCGACTGGTGGGGTGATGGCAGGTGGGCAGCAGCATTCGATTTACAGAGGGATAGCAGAGGGAGAAGAGGAGGGAGGGATGGAGAACGAAAAGGACGGACCAGCTGTGGTAGAAGGGGAAGTTGTTGGGGGGGTTGGAGCAGAAAAAGAGGCAGCAGAGGGAGATTTTGCAGCTGCAAACAGCAACACGGGTGCAGAGGGGAGAGGGAGGGTGGAGGAGTGGGGGGGGCAGAGCCCCATGAGGGAGCTTCTGGGGGCGTTGGAGTCTCCCACCAGATGGGCTCACTTGTGTGCCAAGATGGAGCAGCAGAGGCAGCTGTATGAAGCCCAAGGTGAGCCTTATGTGTGCCTTATGAATCTCAAGGTGAGCCTTATGTGGGAGAGGATAGTGTGTAACAGTGTCAAGCTGCTGGGTGCGTTGGAGTCTCCTACCAGATGGCCTCACCTGTGTGCCAAGATGGAGCAGCAGAGGCAGCTGTATGAAGCCCAAGGTATG